AATGCGAAAAACAAAACAAAGCTGCTGCCACAAAGTATCTGACAGATATAAATACATGTACATACATGCACACACAGATAGAGATACAAATATAGAGACAGAGATACACTTGAGCCGTTGGTTGCTGCAGCAACTGGTTTGGCTCGGTGAAAATGCAGCTGGAAAAGCAAACCGAATCGCTTGGCGGAAAACTCTTTTGGCAAAACTACGTCGCAGGTCTCGAATTTCGCGCAGCGCGTGATTGACGGAATATAAGCAAAGATGTGAGCAATGCGGCAGTCGAATGTGCCTGACCATGAAATACCCTGTTTCAATTTTACCTGAATTGTTATGCTATTTTTATAAAAATATATTGAAAAAACATCAATTTGTAGCTACTATTTTATTGTGTGTACAATACTGATATACCTGTTTACTGGCCTTAAGACAGGGTATTTGCCAAAAGTCTACCGGGTATTGTTTCCTCCATAATATGCCTCATGAATGGCTAAACTGAATATATAGAACATCAGCGAACTGCGAATCGTTTGCCAAACCAGTTTGTCTGCGAATTCTGAACTGACTATTTATTATATATGCGTCTATATATACTTAGAAGTATGTGTACGTATGTGTGTGCGTATTCAATTCAAGACCAGACAAGTTATGCGCATATTCTAATAAGTCTGTCTGCGCATGGAAGCTGTTTAATCTCTGGAACATGACTGAAATTCGATCGATTCATTATTGATTGTAGCTTTCGTTTCAGAATGTTTGTTTTGATTATGTAACAAAAGCTAATGTAAGATAGAGAAATATGCAAATAATGCGAAATAAGAAAGCTATAAATAGAATAAACAGCTAAAGCTAATGTGATTAATTTTACAAAAGAGTCTAAATATTTAATGCTAATTATGCCCAATAATGGAATTTAAATCATATTATATATTGTTATTCAAATATCATTATATATGTACATATACAGTGTTGTTGCTAATTATAATTTTATTTATTATGGGTTTGTGCTTATTAATTTTGTTTGTGGTTTCATTTTATTGTTATCTGCTTTGTTCCTCGCTTCGTAACTCTGACCTATGACAGAGTGTGTAATCTATCGCAAGTAAACGCCATATCTCCCAGTGGACCCCACGACGCTCTGCTGGAGTACCGTTAAGTGAATGTTTTTGCTTGAGTTGAGATGCCGTGTGGCATCAAAAGCAATTTATTACTATCTTTCATATAATTATACTTTGAACAAACAAACAAACAGATGTGTGTGGGTTATCGGTCAAGTTGGAAGAATTTCTTGATTGTAAATATTTATAGAAGATGCAATTCTGTTAAATAAATGTCTCGCTTATCAGCTGGGAGTTGAGATGTTGCGAAGCGATAGATTCTATAGAAAGTTATAATATTAATGTCAAGTTTAACAGGACAAAGAGCGAAATAGAAGCATAGTAGACAATAGTAAAGATTTAAATAACGAAGCGTGAAATGAAAGACTGAAAAAGTTCTTAAACAAGAAAAGAACAGGAGCGCAAAGAACACACTTCCGTATTTGGTAACACTATGAAATTGATTTTGTGCAAGAGTCTAGCCACGTTGGACTAGCGTATCAACGATATGGAGAATTATCGCATCGCGTCATGCCAGTGTTTTATACAAGTGCGAAACGAAAGGTAGTTACACAAATTAACACTTTCCTTTGTTGATTGGGCGGGTGTGAGGCGTGGCAAGCCAACAGGTAAACACAGACAAAGAGTCATTGTCGTTTGTTAAGTGCCAGGTAAATAATAACAAGCTGGACGAGACAAAGGGAAAGGGGAGACATTACTCTTATCATTTAAGGTAAAGTAACGACTAGTCAATGGTAAAGCGCAGATATCCCACAAAGTCTGGCAGACAGACAGTCATGCGCTTAGACAGTCAACGCAATTGAATGCATTTATTTTGCGTATCTAATTGGACAGCGAGACACGAGGCAGATTTAATTTATTTATACTTATACCACATATACAAATATATATGTATATACAATGCGACAGGCCGATAAACTTTGCTGCGAATCAGTAAACAAGAGTTGGGCTATATCTAAAGATTTTTGAACCTGAATTCGGGTAAATTTAGATTGCAAGTAAAAGAAAACGTTCTTCGAGATCATGTTAAATTAATATAGTTCGGGTAACTATAGTCTGATTCATAGTAACTCAATTGTTGGAGGAAGTTATCTTTCATATTATAAGTTTATAGCTTAGGGCATATAGAATACTGATAAAAATATCTATTTATAAATATTTTGGTCATAAAAATATGTATTTAGTTAATAGTATTCAATTTACTTTAAGCTACAGAAAAACTTATTGCTAACATCTACGCCTCTCTATGCACTTCTCACAGTGCTGACAATTGAACAATGAATATTCTGTAAAGTAATTAATTTTAATAATTTGACCTCATTATTCAATCAAAGCTCTTAAAGAAATAACTTTTTTAGTATATACCTAAGCAATTCGCCTTTACTGTTAATTGGGAATTATAGAAAATTGTACAAAAATTGCATACCTAAAATAGAAATTGCGTGTTGTTTACACCATTTAAATCATCTATTGCAAGCTGATTTTGTTTATAACCAACAATCGTAAAAATCGCACCTGAAAGAGCGTCATATTTAACGGTCAGCGGTACTAGTTTAATGCCTATTTGGTACTGCCAATCAGATTAACGGCAGTTGACACGTGACTCAGTATGATGAAGCAGTGAACCCTGACTTTATTGTTAGCTTTCCCAAAGAGCATTACGTTTAAATCGTATAGAATATTACTTGGATATTGACAGGTCAGCATGTTTTTTATTAATTAAAATAAAAATAAGTTCAGTGACTTCAGTACGCTGCTAAGCAACTCTAATGAATGTTAATTCATACTTTGTTTTTTTTTTCTGTTTTCACCTTTCAGAAACACATGCCCGTGGCCATCAAATGTATTACCAAGAAGGGGCTCATAAAGACGCAGAATTTACTCGGCAAGGAGATTAAAATTCTAAAGGAACTAACTGAGCTGCATCATGAGAACGTTGTGGCTCTGTTGGATTGCAAGGAGTCGCAGGACTGCGTCAATCTGGTCATGGAGGTGAGTTGTTTTCTTTTTGCTATCTATTACCTGATTCAAAACAGCCTAATCAGCAGTTCTGTACGAATTCTGTTGTGTCATTGTTTATGCCTTAGTGTTTTTTGTTGTTGTTGTTGGACAACTGGGTATGATACTGCGCGACGGCCATCATTAATGATATGTGGCCTAATCGTATGACTCAATTCGTTCGCCATTCGTTGCAAAAAAAGTGCACGTAGGCAAGATTTGTCGTCATTGAGCAGCGTTCCACATCCCGCTTCACATGAGGGCCCTTTCAGCTGAAAACACTACGCATTTAATCGCGGAAGTTACAAAGTCTGTGTGAAAGCAAAATAAATATGCAGTAACTAAACGAAATTAACCATTTAAGCAGCTTCTACGACTACAGAATACCCTTTAATGAATGCCAGATTTATTATGCATATATTATCGTATGCATATATTAATGATAAAGACTTTCTACATTTATGATCTGAAATTAAGATGTCTTTACTTTTCATCATATACTACGGTTCGGTTAAATTCCTCTTAACAACACATTTAAGAAGTCTGCTTTGTTACACATATACCTCGTAGTTTATTTAATTTCTACATATACCTGAAATGAGTCTTTCCTTTGTATTCCGTATCATCCTATTCTTGCATATAGCTATTTCTAAATTTATAAAGCATAGTATACATAAATTATTGTACGTTTGCATTCTACGACAATTCTTAATTCCACTTATCCACTATTTATTCAATATATTCACTAATCTGTTTCCCTGAATCTACCTGTTTCGTATATGTAAACAAGTTTTTAGTTTTTCGCAAATTTTGCAATTAATGAAAATATTTCTCACCTAAAACTTTGAATGCTTTGTTTATTGATTTATTCGTATGACTAAATACTTCCTATATATTTATGTATATGCCTATTTATGCAACAGGTTCATATAGACTTTTAGCACGCACTGTTTAACGATTAAATATGAAATTAGGTCAGACTCCTGTGCGAGGCATTAGTTAAGGCCTTGTTGATAAGATTAGATGGCATTGTTGTGCGCACTTTTATTTACATAGATATCAAGATCATTTATGAAAGAGAAATGCGGATGTTTTCATTTTGTCTACAACTGTAGAACCCAAGTGCAGGCTCTTCAAATTTGCAAATGTACGGATTTATCTATAGATTTAATTATCTAATTTTAGTCAAGTGTAAAAACGAAAAATATGTAAGCATTCAATTAGTTCCGTTTGTTTTGGCTGACTTTGACCTCATTTCGATGTCTGCGCCGTGTTTACCCGATTTCTCTCTATTTTTCTACTGTGCGCTCTAATTTCTAGTGTAATCAGTTTATTTTCGTAGTACTTAATGAACCTGTTGAACGAATTTTGACTTATGACAATGCTTTACTGTAGTTGACTTATGAAATATGATTGAGAATCAATTTGCTTATACAGTTCGAAAAGCCTCTTATTATTTTGGTAGTGAAAATCTTGTGAATTGCGCGCAGTTCGATTGTAACTTATAATGATCTAAAAACGGAATGGTGAACATTAGTAAAAGGCCGATTAGGGGTTTATACTATTTACAACAATTAATTTTATTGTATAATTGGCAAAGTATCTATTATTAAGAGTAGGGAAGTTCTAATAGCTATAGCAATTTATTAGACACTATCGATATGATGTGTATTAATGTGCTTGAAACGTAACCACAGAATATATTTATAATTTTAGTTGTTTGCTACCCGAAACACACAAAAATGCAAGACAAACTACAAATTATACATGTCCATGAAATCAATATCTAGTCGACTAGGTGACTTATAACTAGAGGGGGAACTATTAACTAAAATTTCCGCTGCAATTCGGAAATTTGTATTGAATACAATGCAAACAGAGTTCAAGTCTCGTAACGTTGGCAAATGCTGCTGGCTGTATTGACAATGTGGTTTTTATCATTTTGGAATCATCGAAGGCAGCGAGCGAGTGTGGTGTGTGCGTGTGTTTGTGTGTGTATGTATATCTTAGGCTAGCTTATTTAGCGGTATTTCCTCAGTGGGATGCACCTGATCCTTTGGCTCCGGTTTGCTAGTGCGACAGCATTTCGTTTTAATGCCGCCCAGATCTTTGCGACAAATCAAGCCCACAATGATGCCCACAACGGCAACGACCATGATGCCTGCGAATTGTTGAACAAATCAATTAATTGTTTATCACAATATTTGTACATCGTTGCACTCACATATGAGCAGTATATTGATGGTCTCCTGCGAGATGGGCACTTGATATGGCTCCTCCTTGTCTGTGGGTTTATCGCTGCTGCTTTCAGTCATGACGCCCGCCTTCGCTACGCTGGCCGTCTCGTTGGCCACCCGGTTGCGATTGCGATTGGCTGCTGAAACAATATTTGCACAGTTACTTAAATGCCCATATATTTGCTTATATTCGAGTTTTTGTTTATTACCAGTGCGTGGCGGCGCTGGAGTCGTTGGCTTCGGAGTGCTGGGCGCCGCAGTCGTTCGGCTGAAGGGCGGATCTGATGAGGCTTGGATGAGGCTGTCGTTAAATGATGTTCCTAGGACCAGCTCGAAGCAGCTGACATCAAAATTCTTGAAGCTGATGTTGTCAATTGATTTGAGCAGATTGCACAGTTCCTCAATGTTGGGTTGATCCAGTTCTGGCAATTTCAGTTTAATTATATATTTAAGCGGCGTGAAAGCTCTCGTATTGATTTGCTGTCAAAAAATTAAAAAGAACAAGACAGCATCTATATAAGTGTGCTCTGCGCAAGTAAGTGCCAGAACGAGACAACTATGTAGGCACACTTGGTAGTGCTGCCAACTCGTCAGCGGACTGCTATCGTCTATCGATAGACATATGCGATAGTTTGGCGCGTAACTTACTCGTTTGAATTCATTGTTGTCCAAGCGCAGTGCATTCAGTCCACTCATATTCGTAAATATTTGTTCCGGAAGCTCCGTCCAGCTGCAGTTCGAGCAGCTAAACTCAATCAAACTGGGCTGATTCAAAAACGAACCATCTGTGCGCTGAATGATGCTATTATTGCTCAAATCCAGCAAGGCTAAATCAGTGGCGCTGGAAAACGTATCTGGATCGATTTTGGTCAACTGATTGTTGGCCAAGCGCAGGCGACGCAAACGTTCCATGCCAGTGAATGCCTGAAAAATATAAACATTAGCTAATAATTCATTTTATAGGAATGTGCTTGACTGACCTCCTTGTCAATGCGTCTGATCAAATTGTGATTTAAATTGATTTCGACCACTTTGGACAAATTGGCAAAGTCTTCGGCACGCAGCTCCGAAATGACATTGTGGCTCAAATCAATAATGGCTGCCGTTTTTGGCAAATCCAGTGGCACATGAGTCAAATGTGCATTCGTGCATTGCACATACTTGAAATCCTCCAAGCATAGGCAATGCCGTGGACAGCTTGGCTCCAGCACATGGCTGCTGCGTCGTGGAATGCCTGAAAGCAAAATCAATGTATTAGAATTAAGCAATTTTCAACTTCTTCTTCAACTTACTAAAAATGGGCCTAAATGTGGTTGTTGTTGTCGATGAGGCTATGCCCAATTGTCGATTTGCTGCAATCTCTGGATGTAGTTTATCCGACGACTCGCTGCTCTGCACCTCGTCAGCATAATCATCATCGTCATATTCGTAATAATTATTAACGCTATTGTTGTTGCTGCTGTCTTTTTGGCTTTTGTCCGCGGGTGCTGTTTGGCTTATGCTGCAAAAAAAAAGTAAACAAATGGAAAATTAGCAAAATTAGAAGTGAACGCAAACAAGTACACCCTATTTTGGCTATTAGCCGAGGTAAGCGGGCTTAATTAGCAATTGCTGGCCAAGTGGTTTTGGCCAAAATAAAGAAACTCAATTGACTGCGAATGTTTGCCAATTCGAGATAATGTACGATTACATCACGAACACGGACACACCCAACAATTTGTCCTGAAAACCGCTCTTGACCCATTTGCAAACATGCTATCAGTGATGCCCTGTAATGGCTGTGAAATGGGGTATACCACAAATTGTTGGCTATGAAATACCAATTCTAATTGGAATTTAAAGAGAAGCCATTCTCACTGAGAATTCTAGAATTTATTATTATTCAATGAGGCAATCATAATGAGGTTAATGATTTTCACTATCGTTAGCTGATTTTTGTACTCCCTGTGTTTATTTACAGGGCATTTTGAGTACAACGCCTTAAGAACACTTTGCTTTGCTCTTTTTACTGGTATATCTTTTAGTTTCGTGCCTTTTTGCTGTCTGTTCGCTCTTTATCATTATTCGCTTTTGTTTGCTGTGGCCGTGTTTGTTGGGCTTTTCGAGCCACATGAATGAAAACAAGCGGGAAACCTGTTTACGTCATGGTTACAGTGAAATCTTAGCCGGTTTTTCTACGTTCTCGCTTACTCTCTACCTCTCACTCTGTCTCTTCTGCTCACTCTCACTTTCGTTCTCTGTCTCTCTCTGTGATAACTTGTCGTGATTTGGTGACCAAATAACTTGGCGAATTCTGAAACCTTCATTAGGAGCGCGTCAGATTGTGCGGGAATTAAATAGCTTTCCTTTCAGTTTATGAGTAAAAAAAAAAAAAAACATTACGAGCTGACACACATTACATACATACATATGTACATATATAGAGATGTGTGCTTGTTTGTGTGTCAGCTCAAGTGCTTCTTATAATCACCCGTTTGCTACTTGCTACTATAAATTGCGTGACTGTTGGATTCTCGAGTATATATAAAATAGTATATATGAGAGCTTTGTCTGAGCCGCCTGCTAGGAATTAGCTTGTTAGCAAAATGAGTCGATGTTTATAGTTTTTGGAATGAGTTTAAGTATAGCTCTAGTAAGTGCTATAAATAACTGTGTTTTAGATTGTTTACTTTGCAGTTTATAGAAAAAATGAAGTATTATTCTTAGTTCGAAATTTGTCTACTATAAAATTGAACTTCAAATGGCTTATCCAACTTGGATCTGGCATACAGTTTAGCTTGACTAACTGCAATTGAAATAAAATGCCAACCTTGAGAAATGTGTTTACACACACATACACATTCACAAATTTTATAGTTTGCGAAATAAATCGATAGAGAAGCTCCTTTGGGTCTTTTGCTGGCTGTCTGTAAATAGAGCCACGCTTGAGTCATAAAACGGTTCGTTTTGTTTGCACTCAAAGCGCTTTGACTGTTTACCGCATTGAATAAACATATTTGATAAGTGAAAATTATCGGTGCAACTGTGGCTGGCCTTATCAATGGGTCGATTAGGGAATTCATACATAAGTATAATAACATTAATTGCGGGTGGGACTTGTGTCACTGTTACCGTGTTACCGTGCCAGCCATAAATAAAATGGTATTTAATACAACGAAAATTGAGTTCGATTAATGCCGGTTCAAGGTCCGTTTAACTGATGTGCTGTCGGAGGCTTTTATTTTTCAACAGGTTTACGTTTCACTTTATACGAATACATATCTGACCACAGGGAAGAACTTTGTACTTTAGCTTAGCGATCTGTAATTGGCTGTCACACCTCAACAATGCGAAAGGTGATCGATGTGTCACGGAAGATTTGATGAATGAATTGGACGAGCCCGAATATGCTATGGGAATTTTATTTTTAATAATAAAACTAAAGTGTTTGGCAGGGGCTAGAAGCAGATTACAGATTATATATTATTTATGTTTATTCATTTGTGTTTACCTTACGCTCAGCAAAAATATTAGAAATAATCCAAATTTGTAGTAAACGTGCATATTGTTGATTGTTTTCTCTTTTCTTTGAATGATAGTTGCTTAGAAATGTTTTATAATTTTATGTTGCTTAATGTTTTTATTCAGGGCATTAATTTCATGTCATTGTTGAATCACTTTTTTATGCTGTTGAATAAAGGTGAAGAAATTTGATTATATAATAATACAATTATACAGTTCAGTCGACGTTAAACCAACTGGATGGGATTTTGTTTCGTGTTTACTTTATTTTTAATATATATTTGCTGTATTTTGCACAGTTTGGTAATAATTCGCTCATTTCAACGGCAAGTGTTTCGTATATATTTATATACATTCATCTGAACAGCTCTCAGATTTCAAAGAATATGTAATTGTGAAGCCCACATGTTAGAATCACATTTTAAGCTTGAGAACTGTAGTTAGCACACTTGCATACAAATCAATTTCTGATTCATATACATATATATATATCACATTATACCAATGGACTCGTGCAATATTTGTTTCACTGTGAGATTTTCCGTTAGCTTTTCTAAAACACTGCGATATAAATTATATATACATTCCTAAACACAAATTGCCGCTATTTTATATGTATAATATATCTATCATTTATATGTATATGCCAAAATAAATTTGGCATTTGTCTCGTCGACCACAACGCGCCACAAACCGAACACGCTCGCTGCCAACTTGTGACTAAATGGATAAAAAAAGGTGAGCGCAAAGCAAAAAAAAATTTGCCCAATGCATCAGCTACGAGGGAAATTTTACTTTATGCTATGAGCAGGTGTTTGCCAGAGAGAGATAGAGAGTGCAGGGACTTTTTTTTTGCATTTGGTTTTGCTTATGAGCGAAATGAGCCTCTCACGTCTGCGCTGAACTGACGTTTCCATGGCAGCGCATTTTGCACGTCATCTCTCTCTTTCTCTCTCCCTCTCTCACTGTCATCTTCATTTCTTTTTGGTGCTCTCTGGCTCTGCTGGCGTGTTAGACATTTTACTTTTACTTGATTTGTTGTTGCTAGTAAAAGTTTGCTTTGCCTAATCGTTAGAATGTTTAATTGCTAATCTTATCAAATTGTGAGCAGCGCTTATTACGGATTCTGCTTTAATTAAAAAATAAGCGTCATTTGTTGTCAACTGATATGTATTTCGCTCTACATTTGTTATTGTCCATATAATATTTGTTATGACTCTTATATATTCCAGTTTCAATTGGCCCATTTATTTATTATAACACAAAGAACTGAAACACAGACACACAAGCACATTCAATTGTAGGCTTCTTATAAGTATGCCGCAATAGACACATTTTTGTAATATTTGTATGAATATTTCTTTATCACTAATGTGCTGCTCTTCCAGCTAGGCACTACTAAGTATTTGCTTTATGTGGAACTGATGTTGTGTTTATCGCCTCAGATTCGCTACAAAATGATTGACCTTTAGTCGTTGAGTTTTGTTGTTGTTTAATTCTACATAGTTGTTTTGTTAAAACGCACTCAATGTTTGAAGTCTACAAATTCCGCAAGCTCTCAACATTTGTTGTTGCTTAGCACATGCTTCGATTTCTTCAAGTCGAGCGCGAGTCATGCGAGTGGTGCGAACGTCCCTGACAAACTGAGCAGCGCGCGATTGCGGCGTCGATGACGGTGCTTTAAAGCTTCAGTTTGGAGAGCGCCGCACATAGTCGACTCTCTGTCACTTTATCTCTCTCTCTGTCCTCTCCCTCTCGCTCTTTCAGTTCTTCGGCAAAACTCTTTTTGGTTCTCCACATTTGATTTAATTTACTATGTAATGTATTATATTAGAATTAATAGTTATTGATACGCTGACTCATGCGCAGTTGCATCATTATTATTATAATTATTATTGTTATTAGTATTAATATTTGTCATGTCTTATAGCTCTTACATTGATTATAGAAATTTTGTCCAAAGTACACATGAAATAGCGCTCTTCCCTCTGTACGCTTTACATGTCATTGACTTTTTATATCTCTCTTTATTCTGAGTGGTTTTTGTTTTGTAAATGTGCCTGCCCGGCAGCCCAAACTGAATCTTTTGTCATTTTTAATTGCATAATGTTGTTGTTGCTTTTATTATTATTATTAGAGCGCTTTGTTTGCTCATTACAGTGGAAGCGGGCCACACATTTCGTCAGTTTTATCAAACAACCATGAAAATTGTTGCTCGTGCTTATTATTCATAATATTTTCCAGCTGAAGTCTTTTTTCCTGCCAACGAAATTTCTTATGCTGTCTGAAGGTCAAATGAATCCTTTATCATCTCGGATAAAAAAATGGACGGTTGTTTCTTGTATGTGTTATATATTATATATGTAAATTAGCGAGGGCTGCTTACATAGTTTACATAAAACAAATGACTCGATTTTATTCTTGCTTCCTTTAACTTACAGTAAAGCTCTCATGTCTTTATATCGCTATTCTTATTGACTCTACACTAATATATTCAACTCTCAAGATGTCTCCAAAAAAGGAAATATGCTCTTCAGCTCTTTGCCTGGAAGCTTCCTTAAACAGCAGCTGCTCTTGTTATGTTAAAAAAAATAAGTGATTTTAGCAGCTGCAGATGCTCACAAGCTATGCCAGTATACCCCTTTAAGAAACGAGAGCAAGATGAAGGGGTTAATCAGCTTTTTTGATTTCTAAATTGTCGGAAATAATTTCACTTTGACCTTGAGTCAACATCAGAGTCGGCAAACCTATAAAGATGCTGTATGGGCACACACATTTGTTCCATAATTGTCTGACGGGCGAACAAAAGACCTCGTTGAGCCTGAGGAACCAGCTGGAAAGAGAATCCATGCATAATTCACAAACTACAATCGCATGTGTTTTCACTTGATTGAGCTTAATTCATTCGCATAGTATGCGATTTGCTTGTCGCAGTTTCTCGGGCTGAGAATTTAATTCACATAATTTTTGTTCTTTTCTTTTGATTTCCCTTTTTTTTTTTTTTGGTTTTTGTTTTATTCCTTTTAGAACTTTGCATTTAGATTATACATTCAGAATTTTTTATAGNTATTATTATTATTTGTCATTTCTTATAGCTCTTACATTGATTATAGAAATTTTGTCCAAAGTACACATGAAATAGCGCTCTTCCCTCTGTACGCTTTACATGTCATTGACTTTTTATATCTCTCTTTATTCTGAGTGGTTTTTGTTTTGTAAATGTGCCTGCCCGGCAGCCCAAACTGAATCTTTTGTCATTTTTAATTGCATAATGTTGTTGTTGCTTTTATTATTATTATTAGAGCGCTTTGTTTGCTCATTACAGTGGAAGCGGGCCACACATTTCGTCAGTTTTATCAAACAACCATGAAAATTGTTGCTCGTGCTTATTATTCATAATATTTTCCAGCTGAAGTCTTTTTTCCTGCCAACGAAATTTCTTATGCTGTCTGAAGGTCAAATGAATCCTTTATCATCTCGGATAAAAAAATGGACGGTTGTTTCTTGTATGTGTTATATATTATATATGTAAATTAGCGAGGGCTGCTTACATAGTTTACATAAAACAAATGACTCGATTTTATTCTTGCTTCCTTTAACTTACAGTAAAGCTCTCATGTCTTTATATCGCTATTCTTATTGACTCTACACTAATATATTCAACTCTCAAGATGTCTCCAAAAAAGGAAATATGCTCTTCAGCTCTTTGCCTGGAAGCTTCCTTAAACAGCAGCTGCTCTTGTTATGTTAAAAAAAATAAGTGATTTTAGCAGCTGCAGATGCTCACAAGCTATGCCAGTATACCCCTTTAAGAAACGAGAGCAAGATGAAGGGGTTAATCAGCTTTTTTGATTTCTAAATTGTCGGAAATAATTTCACTTTGACCTTGAGTCAACATCAGAGTCGGCAAACCTATAAAGATGCTGTATGGGCACACACATTTGTTCCATAATTGTCTGACGGGCGAACAAAAGACCTCGTTGAGCCTGAGGAACCAGCTGGAAAGAGAATCCATGCATAATTCACAAACTACAATCGCATGTGTTTTCACTTGATTGAGCTTAATTCATTCGCATAGTATGCGATTTGCTTGTCGCAGTTTCTCGGGCTGAGAATTTAATTCACATAATTTTTGTTCTTTTCTTTTGATTTCCCTTTTTTTTTTTTTTGGTTTTTGTTTTATTCCTTTTAGAACTTTGCATTTAGATTATACATTCAGAATTTTTTATAGAGCGCACTACAAATAATTGGTTTGTTATAGTAAAACTATTACAAAGATATTACGCATTCGGTCAGCTTTTCCTGTTCAAATATCACGCGAAGATCGGATTCCGGGTCGTCTGTGTCGTTGTCAGCGTTGTCCGCATTCGAGAGTCCTTGTTGTCATCATCGGAGCTCAGCTTAAGCTGCAGTTGTTTGCTGTTGCTCCTGGGTTGTTGTTGACGCCGCCGAGCTGGCCTCGGGCGCCTTCTCATTGATGGCCAGCCAGGGGCAACGTTTCTGCAGCTCCATGCGGTACCTCGGGTGGCTGATGGCATAGACGAATGGGTCTATGCAGGCCACCAGCTTGCAGGTGCAGGCCGGTATCATAGTGGCTCCTGGTGTTAGCAAGCTTTTGTCCCCGAACGCGCCTATTAGGGACATCACGCCGTACGGCGTCCAGGACACGAAGAATAGGAAGCATATGGTAATGGCTGCCTTTGCAATGCGTATCTCAGCCGTATCCTTGCTCTTGTCCACGTTGGAGCGCAGCGACTCAACGTTCATCTTCTTGGCCTGGTCGCGCAACGCTTTCTCATGGCTGATCACATGCCCAACTATCTGGCTGTAGTAGTAGATTATCATCAGAGAGGGGCACACGAAGCTGAAGAAGAAAATGGTGCCCACAAATAGGCGCGTATCAAAGTTATCCGTTAGGTAATCGAAGGAACAGGACGTCAGATAGCCCTCCGGCACGAATCGATCCCAGAACTGGGTGAGCGGCATAACAACCCACGGAGTGCAATAGAGCCAGATGATTATGTTCATTATAATCGCCTTGGTGAACGTCATGTTGCGATTCATGGGCTTCGTGATGACATTGAAGCGATCGTAGCCAATAGCCGCATTGGTCATTCCGGCGCCAATGCCCGAGTAGGAGCCGATGGCCGCAAAGATCTGGCAGCCAGTGTTGCCCAGGGCGAAGCCTCGATGGAAACTGTTGTAGATGAAGATGGGTGCTTTCAGGCACATTATGAGGTCAAGCACGGCCAGATTCAACACAAACATGTTGGAGGGCGTGCGCAACGACTTCGATGTCGAAAAGATCCAGATGACCATGCCATTGCCCACGGTCGAGGCGCAAAACAGAAATATGTAGAAGACGCCGAGCATGTAGTGCATTGAGGCCGGCGGCTCTAGCTGGGTGAGCCAATGCTCCGGTATATACTGTATCTGATCCGGCGGCACATTCCAGCCCAAGAACTGCAGCTCACCGTTGCCCGAGATCCGTGCCTCCGGCCTTAGAACAGGACTCACGCTGGCGTTGCACAGCGGCGGCCCCACAGCGTCCACCATGGCGCGTTTACGAGCTGCGATTCAAATTTGTGGCTTGTGGTCTGTGCGTGCCACAGCGGCTTTTATACCTTTGACAGACCTTTGGCTAATTGAATTTGGTCGTGGGCTCGCGTGCTGCCAAATACCTTTTTTTGCCAATTGTGCACTTACCACAAATGCCCAGCAACAAGCTGGCTTACATTCTGGCTTTGCAGGCCAATGTCTAGCTTGTATGATGGCTGGCTCTGATACTTTACTTTAGAGAATTCACAATAATGTTTGTTTATTAATTATTTAAATATGATAAATAATATTTATGTATTCTTAAATTTTTTATATATTTTTAAAGTCATCTCCGATTCTCCCTCGCTAATATCCTCCTTTGATTCTCTTTTCCAGTATTGCAATGGCGGCGATTTGGCGGATTATCTGAGTGTTAAGGGCACTTTGAGCGAGGATACTGTCAGGCTGTTTCTCATACAACTAGGTAAGTAACTTTATATATATATACATATATATATTTTTACATGATTGCTGACATTATTTATTGTTCATACCCAGCTGGTGCCATGAAAGCACTTTATACCAAAGGAATTGTGCATCGTGATCTCAAACCACAAAACATTCTGTTATCGCACAACTATGGCAAGACCTTGCCAGCACCATCCAAAATTACATTGAAAATTGGTAAGCCATAGAGATTATTGAATGTTTTTATGAAAAAATTAAATTTAAAATAATGTAAGAGGAAAGTCTGGGAAAAGTTAAATAAAATAAGTATTTGCAATCAAATTATATTTAAGTTAAAGTAGTTTCTAAACTCAATTTGGGATAACAGTATTCTATATGAATTTTAAAAAATTCACAGTGTAGTTTATAAACAGCTCGAATTAAATTTTTATTAACATATACATACATATTCTTTTCATATGTTTAAAATTGAAATTTTCTATACTATTATACTTATTTTTATTTTTATTTTTATTATTATTATTATTATTTGTCATTTCTTATAGCTCTTACATTGATTATAGAAATTTTGTCCAAAGTACACATGAAATAGCGCTCTTCCCTCTGTACGCTTTACATGTCATTGACTTTTTATATCTCTCTTTATTCTGAGTGGTTTTTGTTTTGTAAATGTGCCTGCCCGGCAGCCCAAACTGAATCTTTTGTCATTTTTAATTGCATAATGTTGTTGTTGCTTTTATTATTATTATTAGAGCGCTTTGTTTGCTCATTACAGTGGAAGCGGGCCACACATTTCGTCAGTTTTATCAAACAACCATGAAAATTGTTGCTCGTGCTTATTATTCATAATNTTACTAACGATACATTATTTCTGAAAATTTTCCTACAGCTGATTTTGGCTTTGCGCGCTTCTTGAACGAGGGCGTCATGGCAGCCACGCTGTGCGGCTCACCCATGTACATGGTAAGCGTTCGACTTCAGCTAAATTCATTTTCATTACAATAATATTATAAATACATTTACTAGGCACCGGAAGTGATTATGTCATTGCAATACGATGCAAAGGCCGACCTCTGGTCGCTGGGCACTATTGTCTACCAGTGCCTGACAGGCAAGGCTCCATTCTATGCTCAAACCCCCAACGAGCTAAAGTTCTACTACGAGCAGAATGCGAATCTGGCACCCAAGTAAGTGAGATTTGATATCACAAGTTATTTACATCGAATCACAGAGCTTAGATAAATAATGAATTTGTTAATTAATTAATTGGCCCAATATATTATGGAAATTCACACATTATGAGTAATTAAGTGTAAATTAAGGAAATTAACGCCAATATGAATGCCTTTTTAGAATACCGCATGGTGTGTCCCCGGATCTACGTGATTTGCTGCTCTCTCTGCTGCGCCGTAATTCCAAGGATCGTATATCCTATGAGAGCTTCTTTGTGCATCCTTTCCTGCAGGGCAAGAAGCCACCCGTGTCACCAGGTATAGCCATTATATTTGAATAAATTGGCATCGAATGCTCATTAACTCTATGTTATGGAACAGTTGATATGCCACCGCTGTCCAGTGGCACCCCGCCCGTGAAGGCCAAGAGTCCGTTGCAGCAGCAGATGGAGCAGGAGCTGCAGCTGGTGAAACAGGCCGAGCAGCAGCAGAAGGAGCGCGAGGAGCAGGAGGCTGCTCTGGAAGAGGAGAATACCGGTAAGCTGAATGCAAAGTGTAAAATGCGTTGAGCGATATCATCCAATCTAAAAGTTTTACCTCTTGCAGTCTCTGTGGTAGCTAATCCTGCTATTTGCGCCACCATTACCAATGTGGGTGTGCTGTGCGACAGCGAGAATAACAGTGCTTCCTGTAGCTCTCATGAGGACTCGGATGACTTTGTGTTGGTGTCGAAAAATCTGCCCGAGGATCAGCGCCAGAGTCAGGGCCATGCAGCGGCCACTCAGCCACGACAGCAGCAGCAGCAGCAGCCTACACAAAATCAGTCCAGTCCGCCGCGTCCCAGCAGCTTGCCCATTTCGGAGCCGAAGCCTGTGCCGGCACCGGCGCGACGCCAGCTGCCTAATGCTGGCGGTGCTGCTGGCTCTCCGGGCAGGCAGGGCGGAATGCCGCTGACTGTGGCCACTTTGGCTGGCGGACATCAAATTCCTCGCTCTCAGCCAATTAGTGTCAAGCAGCCGCGTGCCGATCAGCGGAAGAGCAGTGTGAGCAGCGACATCAATTCGATTTCGCCGCCGGCGGTGCAATTCGCAATTGGCACACCGCCAACCAGGGTGCGCTCCGCGTCTGGTGGCTCTCTGTCAGAGACACCGCCAGCGCATGCACCGAGCACGTGGCAGGTGTCGCCCGGGCACTCTCAGTCGCCATTGCGTCGCAGCGGCAACAGTTCGCCGGTGCTTCCGTCCGCAGCTCTGACCAAGTTGCCAACGCTGTCCAGTCCCACATTGCTAGTTGCTCCAGGATCGCTGGGCTCGATTGGCTCTGCGGGCAGTGGTTCTGAGAACAACAATCAACATCATATGCTGGGACCGCGTGCCTTTACGCTGCCCGAATTGGGAGCCACTGGCGGTTTGCAGAGCCTGCTAGATACGGCCGGTGTCGGCGGGCCAGGCGCTGAGCCGCATGCATTCCAGGCACCCGAGCTCTCGGAGGAGACGCTGATGGATCGCGAGCACAACGAAACTCTCTCCAAGCTGAACTTTGTGGTTGCACTCACCGATTGCATCCAGGAGGTGGCCGATTCACGCTGTGCACCGCTCTCCACACTTATGGTTGGCGGCAGCCAAACGGCTACGGATCAGAAACAGATACCACCCCACGCCCCGGAGCACTGCAAGCGAGCAGAGCGTTTGGTGTTACTGGTGCGCGCCCTCCAGCTGCTATCGTCCGGCCTTAATTTAGCCTCGCAGCAGCTGCGCAATGGGCAGTTGAAGCCGTCAGCGAACGTAAAGAATGGTAAGTCAAGCAAATACAATTATGATTATTTATTATTTATTTTTAATTATTTATTAATTCACTATTTTCATATGCACTGCAGCGCTGCTCACTATGAACGCTAAATATCGCAGCATTTTGTTCGAGTCGAAGCGTCTCAATGGCAGCGGTCTCCTCCAAAAAGCAAATGCATTTAACATAACGGCGGATAAAATACTCTACGATTATGCGCTGGATATGGTGAGTTTATAGAGAACCATCCAATTAACCAGATGTGTGATCCTAACTGTCTTTCGTTGCCTTTGCAGTGCCAGGCGGCGGCCCTGGACGAGTTGTTGAAGAACACCAAGAACTGCTTTGAGCGCTACAACACGGCACACATATTGTTACACTCCTTGGTGCAAAAGTGCAATCATCCACAGGATAAAAAGCAATTGAATAAATGTGAGTGTTCTTAGAATATTATTTGCTTCATTGAATTCAATTTTTATTATTTTCAGATCGCGATGCCGTCGAGAAACGTTTGAGTATATTGCAACAGCATGGCTACATCTACGTCACCGATGAGAATACTTAGAGAGAGAAAAAGCGAAGAGCATTCATTCGTCGATAATTCCTTAAATTATTTAACCCATTTTCGTTGAGCGTACAACATGTGATTAAAGCAGAACTACGAGTACTCTATATATCCATAAATGCATACATAAATAGAAACAAACATAGCTAAAAGTAATTGAGATACCTTACACGTCATTTCAAGTGCAACAAGATATTAGCTAAAGACTTGAAAACCTTTTTAAATAGACAGGCTAACTGACAAATGTCCAATGTAAATAGTTTGAAATATGTACGTAGTTTTTGTTTAACTTTTTATTTGATATATATACATATAAACAATTTTTGTTAAAGGTTATAAATGCGCCTGCGCTCGACGCCCATTTAGTCTTTAAGTTAATCAATAATAAATAAACACACACATTATATATAGAAATATATGTACGTTTCGATTTATATATATATATATAAATGTATACACAAAAACACAAACACGACAACAAACGGATAATCAATTAATGTTTATGGGCAAAATGCAAGCCAAACTCAGTTTAATCTATGTTTCTAAGCTTCATAGGTGCAGGCAACTTGAAGTAGGTTTGTTCGCATAGTTCATATGTCTTCTTTATATCTTAAACATACAATTTTCTCATAACAATTTTCATCTATATATTCCTTTATAAGCTACGCGTATTTATGGCTGCACTACACAAACAATTATAAATGTGCTATGTTCATAGTTTTAGTTAGGATTTCCTCTAAAAAAAAAAAAAATTAAGTGAACAAACAAATAATTTTATGTATAAAATACTTTAAACRAACCTAAGTTTTTCTACAAAGCCCACAAATTAAATAAGATTTATGTACATGATATACAAACAAGCAAACACATATGAAAGTGTATAAAATGCAAATTCAAACTAATAAAAAATAACTCGAAATGTAAGAACAGCTTGTACTTTGGTTTTTAAAACAATTTATTTTTGAACTATACAATTTTGTAAAACGGAGATATTGCTCTATCGATAGATTTGATATGGTTGAGCGAAACTATCAAAACTACCGATAGGTTTCTAGCTCTGTAACATGGTAGACGGAATCTGATATATATATTTAAACCTATTTCACTTTCAAATTTATCGAGTGGTCATCATTAAAAGCTCTAAAGTGGCGCCCAGTCAATGTTCGTCGCCTGTGGTTGTGGCATCATCATCGACGGTATCCTCGATCCGGAGTTCTTAAATCCTCGCCGCTGCTGCTGCTGTTGTTGTTGCTCCTGTTGTTGCTGCTGCTGCAGCTGTTGTTGGGACATATAAGGCGGACTGGCGTGGCCCGGAGATGGTGGCCTTGTGGGCGAGAAAGATATGAACGAATTAAGTCCACTGGGGCCGCTGCTGTTCACGTACTGATTGTATCCCATCCAAGGCTTGACCTGTTCTTCGCCTTCCGGCTGGAATGGCGCTACATCTCCGGCCATGAAGCGATCGTCTTTCTTCGTGGCGTCTTTGGGCGCTGATTGGCTTTTCGGTGATTTGTTACCATCCTTCTTTGAGTTTGGTTTTGACTGCTGAGACTTGGCTGGCAAGGGGCAGCAAGCACCGGCGGAATTGCTACAGCCATTGGAGCAGCCGTTGGAACAGCCATTGGAGCAGCAGCAGCTATTGTACCAGCAATAGCGACCCGTATAAGCATTATAGTAGCAGGCGCGTCGTGGCCACCGACAGCAGCCAGACGTACAACCGGAGCCATTGGCATTGTTGTTATCATCTCCGACATTGTCAGCTCCACCCTCAATATTCCTGTTCTGTGAGCTATGCACGGAATTTATCAATGAACATGGGATTCGCTGGATTCTGATTCGCAACTTACTTTCCACGGATTTCCGTATTGCAACCACAGTTGCGCATAGTGCGTGGTACGCATTCGTTTTGGGGTCTGTATTCGGGTCCACTATTGCCATAGCCGGCAGCAGGATTGTATTCTTGGGCGCCTTGATTATTACCTTTGGCATTTTGCCCGGCATTGTCTCTACCCTTGGTGGACATTGTAATTGGCAGCAAGAGATAACAGCTTTCCGGTGGACGTGGAACTTGCAGCGAGTTACAAATGCTGCCAAATAAAATGTCAACACATGAGCAATATATTACTCCAAAGAGGGGCTATTTCATTGTAGGTGCTAAGGTAATTTTTCAGATTTTTTTTTTACTGATATTGACTGAGCTTTTTTTGTGTGTGTGTGTGTTGTGAGCTGTGTTGTGTGTTGTGCCGAATGAGTGTAGAATTGAGACTGCTGCTATATAGATGTGTGTCTGACACATAACTCACCGCGTCATGAGATCAGGACTCGCATTGCAGCAGTTGACAACTTGAATCTCATTGTTACCCTGTCGTTTGCCCTTATTATTGTTGCTGGGCTTGCCGAACTTATTCTTATCAGCCGACGGCGAGTTGGTGACCTTTCTGCCATCACCGGCACTATAGAAAGAGACATTGACATTGGCATTAAGAGTGATAAGAGCACCAATACTACTTACTTTTTGGAGGGCACCTTTTTGGTCGTAGGATAATCAGGTGTGGTCTTCTTTGCTGTATTGGGCCCTTTGCTGTTTGCACTGCAACAATTACAACAATCATTTTGCTTCGGGCCTGCGGATGCTGATCTCTTGTCGCCTCGCTGCCATAGGACTTTGTCCACGCCTTTGTCTTGGGTATAGCTGTTGGTTTTTCTGACTTTGTTCTTGGCCTTGCCAAGGGCATTAGTGCTCGAGGTTTTATTCTTGCCCTTGGATTTGCCTAAGCTGATCCCCGATGAGGTTTTCTTTGGCGTACTTTGCATATCTGGCCATGAAGGACAGGGTGGACAGCTGCATCTGCTTAGGAGCAATTGGGGATCTGATCCAAACTGTATATTAGGAGCAAACGGGTTATTCATTCCTGGCAGTGGAAATGATGCTGGTATAGATTGAGGACCGGGTAATCGCGGTGCTGATTGGATTGGGTTCCATAATTCCCTGCCTGTACAGGGATCAAAGGGTGGGCATTTCTTGCTAGGTAAACCAGCCGGTCGAAGTCTCTGTAATGACGGGTCAGCATCTATAGGATTCAGTGGATTCATTGGAGCGGGATTTAATTGATTCACAAAAACATCAGGGGAAGACCACACCGATGGAAATTCAGGAAAACCAGTTAGCTGACCACAACATTTGCAGACGGGGGGATACTCAAAGTTAGGTGGCTCACAAGTATTACATCCAACATCTTTGCATTGACAACACTTTTTTTTATTGGGACAAGTTTTGGGTTTTGCTTTCGGCTTTGGTTTCACACGACTGGTCAGAAAGCTGGGCACCACCACATTTGAGAATTTTAGCTCATCATAATTCTTTTGAGACGCATTGGACTGGGGAAAGCTGAGACAATCAAGAATGTAAAATACCAGAAATAATTACATGAATTAAAATTCCACTTACCCTTTACCTTGATTAGGAGACACACTAGAATATATGGATATTAATCAAGAAAATTTACCAACATAAGTTATAAGAAAAAATTGCAATAGAATTTGACTTACCCATTATCTTGAAATGGAGCCCCACTGGAATGCGAAGAGGTAAAGCAAGAAAATTTACCAATATATGTTATAAGAAAATATTGCAAAAGAATTTAAATTACCCAATATCCTGATATGGAGACCCACTAGAATTCAGAAAGCTGAAATAAGAAAAAATTTATGAATACAAGCTATGCGAAAAAACTACAGTACAATTTGACTTACCTACTACCTTGATAAGGAGATCCCCCACTGGAATTCATAAAGCTAAAACAAGAAAATTTACCAATGTTAGTAATGCAATAAATTGCAGTATAATATTACCTACCCACTACCTTGATTAGCAGGCACCCCAGAATTCAGAAAGCTAACAGAAGAAAACTGACCAATATAAGTTATCATGTAACATTGCAGCAGAATTTTGTTTACCTATTATCTTGATGAGAGCCAACAGGATTCAGGAGGCTAAAACAAGAGAATATAAGTAAAAGCCACCTCGACTTCCCGTGGAATTTAACTTACCTATTATCTTCATAAGGAGACCCAACAGGATTCAGAAGGCTAAAGCAAGAGAATTGGCAAATATAAGTAAAAAGAACCTCGAGTTCCCGTAGAATCTGACTTACCTATTATCTTCGTAAGGAGGCCCACCACAATCCGGAAAGCTAAAACAGTAAAATTTACCAATATAAGTCATAAGAAGAGATAAAATGAATTTGGCTTACCTATTTTCTTGATAAGGACAACTAAAATTACTTATTAGAAAAAATAAAAAAATAAATAAGTAAAAAAAAAAGTCATCAAAATGAATGAACTTGAAGAACTCACTTCTCCGTATAACAGGCACACATTTTAAAAGCAATTTGTCCACCTAAAAGTTCATTGTAAGAAACATTAACTCATAATTTTTTTCTAAGATAAAAATAAATAAATATTTGATGTTTAGATCAAGGTTTGTTTCCATAATGCTACAGATATTTCTGGAGCTTGAAAAGCCTCTAAAATTATTATGACTATAAGAAATGAATGTTTACGTTTCTATTTATGGAGTGAATTAAAAGAGAAGTTGGATTATTTAAATTCCATTTTCTAATTGATAGTAAGAAATCGATAATTAACTATATGTATACTAAATTGGATTCTCGAATAACATAAATAGAAATGATTTATATATATTTTATATAGCAGTCAATGATCTATAATAGCTCTAGTGCATATGGGATATAGGAATGTGAAGACTCTTCTCTGTATTCACAGTACTTTTGTGTTGGTTAGATATTCTGCATAAGTTCGCCTGATTGACTTGACATTTCAAAATATGTTTCCAACACATCAAAGTTGTTTATTGAAATTCTGTAATGTGGTAGCAAAGTAAATTAGGGCGGAAGTGTTGTTGAATTCGGTTGCATGCGGTCAACAAAATGCGCAGAAATGTTAGCAGAAGCCAAGCAAGAAGTCGTAGTCCAATGTGGTACAACGCAGCTGCTCACTATGCACTGAAGGGCTGCCTTGCTGCTAATCCTTTGACAGCCAACCAAAGCCGGGATCCTTTAAGGTGCATGGCCGGACAGACCAACCAATTTCTATCGCCTCAATACCCGTCGAGAAACAGGAGTAGTTCGCCTCAACGGCGTCGCCTACTCAGCAGTTCCACGAGAAATGTGTTCTTGGCACCCAGGACTAGACCACAAACAAAGTTCCGCACAGAAGCGCCGTATGTGGTGGATATGCAACGACCAATTCATAACTATGAGGCGTTGGAGATAAGTCGAAGTTTTTGTACGAATGGCAACGAACAAGAGTTGGCTAAAAATCAGGAGGAAAAGTTACAAAATGTTGCGTCATTGGAGAGATCAGGCTCCAGGGATATGTTGACATCAGATGCGTTACCACTGATTATGGTGGATGCACAGGTAAAGAGAAGAAAGCCCTCAAAGACAACACAGAGTGTCAAAAAAATGCGCTCTTCGAAAGCGTCAATCACTAGCAAGGAAAGAGATGAACTAGAGCAGCAGACCAAACTTACCAAAAACGATGTAGAGCCAGAGGTTGCCGAGGCAGAGGAAGCAGAACCAGAGGAGGCCGAGGCAGAGGAAGCAGAAGCGGAGGAAGCAGAGGCGGATGCTGAGGCCGCTGGCGTCATCGAATACAAAGCGGAAACACAAACCGAAACCGAAGTAGAGCCAGATGCAACAACAGCTCAGGATCCACTGGTGAATAATTTGGATTTTAGTCAAACATTGAAATGTGAATGTCCAGGATTTCATGATCCCAAAAGTCCAGTGAATGTGCGTGAAGAGATCGGAAATGAGATGAGCGTGGTAGCTGCTTGTGAGCTAACCGAGGAGAAATATATATGGTAAATGTGTTCTGTAATTTCAATTTAGAAATATACTCATGGATATCCCTGTATAGCTTTGACAGTGCCGACATGAACCAGAGGAACTTAGAGGAGCTCGATTTGGAGCAAAGCAGCTTCTGGCGACCCGCTCCAACATTCTACATGTCGTCATTCATGTCGCCCGGTCAGCTGGGAAAGACATCCTGCATCAATGCGAACCAGCCAACGAACTGCGGATGTCAGCAGTGCCAGACCCAGTCAAACAGCAGAATGAATAGTGGCTGTCCGTGTAGCAATTGTGGCTGGAGCAGGCCGGCGTGCATGCCACAGCAACACAACGGCTATGCGGGCCCACAGATGCAGCCCAGCTCATGCTGCAACATGACCGGCCATCAGAGGCCATCCGTGCCAGTGCTCCACCAGGTGCCGGTTCAGAGTAACCCAGCCGGTCTGACGGAAATGTTGGCCCAGCAACTGCAGACGCAAATGAAACAGGCTCAGGCTCACATCGATCAGGTTCAAATGCAATTGAACAAAGTCTGCGCCACAAAGCGAATGTGGGCGCTGCCTCATACGACGAATGACAGAGAGCAGGACGCCTGTTGCACTTCGAAGGCGAATCAAATCGATAGAAATCCTCCACTGTTAGCGGACATCGAAGAGACACCGCCAAGACATTCAGTGCCGTGTGTCAGGCAGCCTCCGGTTTTAGCCTTTGGTTTCTATGCCATGAACGATGAAAATAAGCCATGCACGCCGTACTTCAATGCAGCAGGTTTAGCGCAACACCAACGAATATATACGCCGCAACAGAATCCAATGCCATTTTCACAACAGCAACAATTTCCGCCGCTGCAGCAGCAGCAACAGTCGCAGCTACCGGGCAATCAACATAGACAACCCTGTTGCCGGCAGCGTTATGCCAAGATGCGTTTCATGATGCCACGCTGCTGGCCGGGTGGCCAATAGGGCGCCTGGCAACTGGCAGGCTTTACCCACGAAAAGGGGTTCGTAAGGTAGCGTGCCGTGTACAGCGAGAGGGGAGTGCAACAGCGGCCCTATGTATAAGGTACGGTACGTTACAGACTCGATTTAACGGAGAGCTTCACCCAGATTTGGGCTACATTCAATTTGGGCTACATTCAATTTGGTCAATGCATCCGTTTCGAATGTATCACAAAATTTGTCCAGTATGAATAAAAGTAATTTACGTAGTGGTGGGCTTGCAGAAGGAATTACCTCAACATGACGATGATGTCGTTAAACATCATGAATTGATAATGCTGTCAATCGTTTCAAATATTTTCAAATAATTTCGGTACAAAATTTTGGGTTTTCCTTTCGATTTGTGAACTTTTTGCTTATGTGAATGGGATTGACGACATATTTTGTTTGAATTACAGATTTTTTGTTGAAAAGCTAGCTGGAAAGGCTTTTTAAAGAAAATGTATAATTCGAATGCAATAGGTTCCTGTCCACAGGAAGGGTGCAACTGCTCCCGCTGTTGCTTCCTTAGGCAAAAGTCTTATGCACATCGAATGGCAAGCCACACGGACAAATCCTCTAAAAACGGACAGATGTCTTCTAATTGCCCTAAAACTATTTCCAATAACGCTTCGACAAAGCAAAAGACAACGAAATGTTACTGTAGAGCAACACGAACATTAACTGTTTTTCCGATTAAATGTAATGATTTATCAAATTCTAAGGACACTAACGCAATGAAATGTGCAAATATTTACACTGAAAGTATAGTCCATAAATCATCTGAATCTCCGTGTAAAAATCCATCTGTTGATATTAAAATTGAAAACACGAGAGAGATGGAATTTCAAAGCATCGCTTCGAATGCGGCATCATCAGAGCCCGCCTTACCTCTAACAGTTCCCAGCGAAAACTTAGTGGAGGATGCTGAAAGAATAGGATCTCTGTCATCACATCTAACAGCTCTAAACGAAGAAAAAGTGGAGACCATTACGAGCATAAGGAGTATGTCGGCACCACCGATAGATCTAACAAATGGAACCGCTTTAAGAATAGGGTCTAAGTCGTCTGGTCTAACAGAACCAAACGGAGAGGTGGTGCAGGCCGGCTCGAAAAAGGGGTCGTCGAAGTCGTCCGGTCTAACAGTTCCTAACGGAGAAATATTTCCCATATCAAGAATGCAGTCCAAGACGTCAGAGCCAGTAGAATCTACAAAAGGATCAGAGGAGGTCGCTTCAAGAATGGGGTCTAAGTCGTCTGATTCAACAACGCTTAACGGAGAGTTGGTGAAAGGCGCTTCGTATTATGTTACAGCTTCAGAAGGGTTAATAGAGATTGATTCAGAAATTGGTTCAAAGTTGACAACTCTAAAGGCTCTTGGTGATAAAACAGAGAAGACCGATTCCGTAATTTGGTGTAAGTCGTCACCAACAAAAGCTTGCCATGGAAAAATAGTGGAGACAACTGCGGGAACGTTCTCGTGTTCGTCACCGCCAAGAGAGTCTACTAAAGGATCAGCTGAGCTAGCATCGAGAACGTACTCGCAGTCGTCACCTCTAATAATTCCTAAAGAACGACGAGCAGACACTAACTCAGCAAACCGAAGTAGGTTGATTCCTTCAACAACTTCCAACAGAGAGTCGGTAGAGGTCAATTCCAAAAGTGGCTGTAAAGCGTTGCCGCTGTCCAACAGATGTTTCTGTTCGGCACCTCGCAAAGGTAGATTGGAGACATCTGACAAAAAATCAAGAAGTGATGCAAAGCCGCAGTTTAACAGTCGATCGAACGCTTTGGAATCCTTGAAAAGATCTACCCGAGAGCCTCCAACAATGGCAACACAAAAACCAATCAAATCAATCAATAATAATAATAATAATAAGCCTACAGCATTTGGCAATAATTTAAAACTTTTCGAAGATCTAAAGCGCTATTTAAATGAGAAATGTTTTTGTGGGTTTCCTTTCAACTCCAAGTCATTAAAGCAACCACAAAAATCCGAAGAAATCAAGCCAAAACACAATAAATCGAAGAGTGAGCAGCTAGCGAAGATTAAACCCAAGACGAAGCCCAAGAAACTGAAGAAGAAAGCTCCTCAATCTCTTCCCCCTTCTGTGCCGACTACCGAGCCACCAGCAAAGCCTGGTCCGATGACTGATATGTGGTAAGTATTGAGAATGGTGTTTGTATCGTTGAATTCAATAATACACGCTCTTTGTTCTGAAATAGCTTTGAATGCAATGTGCCTATGAGAGTTTGCATCCCCATTTCCAAATGTATTGAATGTTTTTGTAACATGGGTACGAAGCTTTTCGCAACAAGCGATATGACGAAGCTACAGCCTGATCAATGTGCCGGGGCCTTGGTTAAGGCAGCTGACCACATGTCCTCTCCTGCACCATCGATTGAGTCGGCTTGCAAATTGTGCATCACATTGTGTCCGGTGGGATGCTGTTCACTTACTATGCCGCTTGGAGGTATAACTCCTACTGCACCGCCCCCTGCTGCTGCAGACCCATCTCCAGACCCAACAAATCTTGCAAAGAAGGAGAAGCCCAAGTCGACTGTCTCAGAGAAAGCTTTGAAGAAAAAGAAAAAAGTAGTGAAACCTATAGAATTACCGAGGCAACCAAAGGATATACCAAGGCAACCAAGGGAAATACCAATTCAACCGAAGGAGTTCAGAAGGCAACCGAAGGAATTTGTAAGGAAACCGAAGGAATTTTCAACACAGTATGGAACTTGCAGCTATTGTAGAAAGGCCCCACAAAAGAATCAGAATTATTGGAACTCAGACAATGATGAAAACATATCCAGTATATTAGATTTAAAGAAAACTGCTGATCGAACTCCACCAAACTCTGTTGTAACAATGGCATCCAAAATAAAAAGTCAAGAAATGATTCAGATCGATAACTCAAACTTAGACAATAATAATAAAAAGTATACTTGGCCAATCCCAGTTCCTGCAACTCTGAGTAAGAAAACGAAGAAAAGCCAGCAGATGAAGACAATATCATCCTCATACATAGAAAAAGAATCATCGCATGATGCATTATCTGAGGTAAAGATAGCAACCAATCGAGAGCTATTAACTTCTAAGCAGATAGCTGATCCTCCATGTGTTGGAGCTCGCATAAAGCTATCAAGCTGTGAAGGGATAACAGATCCTTCATGTGGTGGAAGCTCTGAGCAGATAACAGATCTGTCATTCGGTGGACCTCAAAATCAAAGAAGCCGCAGTAAACTTTCTAAAGAGAAGCCCAAAAATAATAGTTCCTCATCATTCCAAGGTTCACAAGCAAGTTCACTCAAATCTGAAGCTCTTAAGGACCTATTGACTTCCATTAAAGAACCAATAATAAATAATGTTGATGCCAATGAGAAATCGAGCAGAAACAAGACAAATAACCAAAAGCAATCCGAGGAGTCACAGAAACTTGTCGCTCAGCTGGTTCGCAGGTGCAACTCGCAATGTGAAAAAACATTCTTAGCTACTCAAGAGATTTTGAAACGTATTAACGATGTAGGCAATAGTCGCATTGTTGACAAAGGTAAATCAAATAATTCTATCTATGGCGAGAGGCAAAAAGAAGAGAGTGCAGACAGGTCAAGTGTGGATAAATCAGCTAATAAGTCAATGAGCCAAATACCCCTGCAATGTCATTCATCATGCCAAACAAATGATGAAGCTGATCTGAATTCTTTGAACAGCGAATGTAGAAAATGCCATCTCGTTAAAAATTCGCTGAATCTTAAGCTCTCTCGCTTGAAGCAGGACAATAGTGAATATCCTCCCACTTTGGTAGAATATAATGTGGAGGCAATTACACGTTGCCCCAGCAAGGCGGACGTTGACTCCAAGGCGAGCTTGATGTGTGATCTTCAAGACTTGAATGAATCGAATATAGAAGATATGATGCAAGACATGAAAAAATGTTGCAATCAGACGCAGTCAAAGTAAGTCTTTATTTGAAAAAAAAAAGTAAATACATAAATAAAAAAAATTAATTTTCAGTTCGAAACTTCCGCTGTTACTTTTGCCTTTTCCGCTGAACGGAGAAACAGATGGAAACATGGGCACCATTTGTCAACCAGATGAATGGTAAGTTTGAACTCGTTTACTTTTACTGTTCATAATATGAGGTACTGCCCCCTAAAAATAGGCAAGAGATTGATGAAAGCCAGTTACCAAATATTTTAAACAGCGTCAGTCAACGGCCGTCAGAGTGTTTGGATAATTCAAGCAATGGTCCACAGGCTGATAAGTCAGGTTTTAATAAGCAGAAAGATCCGTCAATTTGTGACGATAAGGAAAACGTCATACAAACATCCTTCAATGCAAGTGAAGCTCTAACAGAAGCTGATCAGGCCTCAGTCAAGTATGAATCCACTATAGCCACGGATTCAAAGGATGTCATAAATCAGATGAGATCAACTGAAGTCGATAAGCAGAACTACTCTCAAACATCATTAAATACGAGAGAGGCATTAGCAAAATCAGACCAGACTTCAGCCAAGTATGAGTCCACCTTAACCATAGCATCGACTGAAGTCGATAAGGAAAGCGACTATCAAATGTCGTTAAGTGCCAGTGAGGCTTTTGCAAAAGCAAATCAGACTTCAGCCAAGTATGAATCAACTAAAAAGACAGGTTCAAAGGGCGTCACAAATCAGATGGGATCACAGAACAGTTCAGTGGCCCCAATTAGATATAATTCTCGTCAAACATTCCCCAAGAACAAATGCTTAGATAATATCCAAACTACGAGAAATAGCTACTCCCAAACTGATGACAAACAAGCAATTCAATCGCAAAAAGATCGTAATGCATCCAAAGTGCCGGGGAAACGGGAGCTATTGCCAAATAAAACCCTTTATGATGCTGCTGAGAGACGTTCAGATCACAGAAAACCTTTCGAAGAAAGGGACAATCAAAGAAATCAAGCCGATGCAAGGGATAAAGATGTCGTCGTGCTTATGAACAAGCGTAAATTGCGAAGGACAAGCAGAGGGGTCACGGACATTGACGAACTGAAATCAAACATCGAGTGTCCACAGTGCCGCAGGAAGCTTGTTGCAGAAGCTGATTGTAATTTCAATGATAGAAGAGAACGACCGCAAATGTTGCAGCAGGAGCAACAGCTGAGACGGTTGCCGCAGGTGCAGCAACACCAATGGGGCAATGGCTATGCAACATTGGAACAATGTTATCAACAGCTGCAAGCGGATTATGGGCCGCAACAACAATTTCGGAGGATGATGCCACAGACAGTCCATCCGGCCGACATGCAACGTAACGGAGTTGCTAGAAATATTACAGATTCCTTCTATCAGGGCACTTTGTACAAATATGGCGTGCCGTGCATGCCCAGACAATACTCCAACCGTAATTAGGTAATAAATTGTAGACAACAGAAGTCGGATCAACCTTTGCTTTATTTAGTTCTTTTCCAATTTGTGTGACCAGGTGTAGCGACAGACGCGTCTGGTCAGCAATCGTGGCGGCGCTGTGGATGAGGAGGGCTTCAGTATCAAGCAGGTGCGTCCAAAGCGCGCCAAGAATACCTTTCCAGGCGCACAGCTGCCGCCCGCCCTGTTGCGCGCACAGTTAGCCTTCTGCTGCTGTGACGTGTCCAGCTTCTGCTCATCCTTGCGCTTGCTGCTGTAGGTCCTCATATGCCTGACAGTCGTTTGGGATGCGTTGGCATGCAGCTCCGTACCTGCCTTCTCCTGTATATCACAATATATATCCTCCTGTGGGTCCGCCAGTATATCCGCCTGTATATCCGCCTCAGTATCCCCGTGTAGGCTCGACTGTGTAGCCTCCTTAGATGGAGTCGTAGAACTCTCGCGCTGTAACTGCCATTTAGATGACTTTAGCTCTACCGTAGTTGATGGCTTGACATCTGAACAGCTCTTGTCACAGTGGCAGCCGTGTTGCTGTGGTTGCTGAGGCTGCTGAGGTTGCTGAGGTTGCTGCGGCTGCTTGGGTTGCTGCGACAGCTGTTGCTGTTGGCAATCGTTGCAGCGAGGGGTTATGCAAGAAGGGGGCTGCATCGGGCAGTGTAGGCAGTGCGGCGTGTTGCAGTTGGTCATGCTGACCGTTGGCGTTCTATAACACAGGCAAGGAGCCGTACAGGCTCCTACTGACTGCAATCTCTGTTGCAGTGCAAATGATTCAGGCGACGGCAACATGTGATGACTGCAATGGCCAGGTATCGCCGGTGCAAGGCCAAAGCCGAGCATGGTTTGAGCCATTGTTGGTTTCAACAAACAGCAGCTGCTGCAGCAATGGCCATAAGTTGCTGCTGGGCCAGGATGCTGCTGCTGTGCATAAGCTTGAAATTGTTGCTGCTGCTGGCAGCAGTGGCAGCGCATGCAACAGTTGCTGCAGCTACCAGCGGACTGCAGATATGGACAGCTTGCACAGATGTGAGCACAACTTGCAGCCGGCAGTTGTTGTGGCTGTTGCTGCTTTACAGGTTGCTGCTGTGCATTAATTGTGGATGCTTTGTGTGTGGCAACTGGCAGGAAGCTGATAGTCACCTGTGGCGTCGTGCCCGCCTCCGCCCTTCCACTGAGTGCTGCAGCACTCTCAGCAACAGTTGGCGTCTGCTTCAGCTTGGCCAGCTGAGCGGCGCACATCTCGCCCAGTCGCCGCAGCGATTTCACATTGGTGTTATTTCTATTGGCTGTGCACTGGCAGCAGGTGCACTCCGGCAACATGCAGCTGGCGTCTGTCGCCTGGCAGCCTCGACTCCTGCCCTTGTTGATCGTGCTCGTTCGCAGCGCGCACTTCAGCAGAAACTCGTCCGTCTGGGAGCCCATATGGGCGCTCATATCGGCGGGCGTTGTCTGCTGTTCGGCATGCGAGTGGCTGCTGGGGGCATGCAGCGTCTCCTCCACCCGTTTGCGTATCAGCGCATCCTCGAGCACCACAAAGCTGGGCTTGCCACGCAGCTTCTTATTGTAGCTCTTGACAAAGCGATCGTGCATTGTCTCCAAGGAACGCGCATCAATGCTAATGATGTCATTCGTCTCCCCACTGTTATCCACCTCGCCATCCGAACTCTCCTCGAGCAGCGCTATGCGTATGCGCTGTTTTCCCCTCTTCGACGACTTGGCAGAGACGTTGCGCATCTTCTTCGGGCTTCGGACTTGCTCGACCTGGTCGCTGGGCCGAACATCGATTTTACCATTATCGTCCACTGTTATCAGAAAGCTGCGTTTTCCATTATTCTGATTCGATTGACTGGCGTCATAGTCATTCGACTCATGCGCCACGGTGGGCATTCTTAAGTTTCTGATTTTTTGGGATCCGAAAAAAAAAAGTTTTTTGGTATGTGTATATAAAGTTTGTTATTAGAAGTTCACATCTGGATTTTGTTATGACCTCACGCTGTACAAAATTCCCGCCTACTTAACCGGAAGTGGTTGAGCTTTTCAATGTAGTAGGCCGAAGCCAGGAAAGATTTTGTATTATTGATAGTATTTGTAGCATAAAATGAGCAAAATTAGGTAAATATATGTATAGAAGTGATTTGTCACAACTGCCTCGCAGTCCGTTGTTGCAACTGAAGTGGGCGTGTAAGTGGGCTAGAGATCGCGTGCAGAAATGTTTTGTACTCAGAGCTGTGAGCATCATATCAATGCGACCTCATCCGGTCGAGTTTTGGGCTCGAATGGTGGGCAGCAGCAGCAGCAGCAACAGCAGCAGCAGGTGCAACAGGCGCAGCAGCAGCAAGGACAAGAGCAACAGCCAGAGCAACAAAATGTCAACAGGAGCTTTGCTCTGATACCAGCGCCAGGACTCGGGGCAGTTGCATCCCAGCTAGGCGTTTGCATTGTGACCGAGACTCCAGAGGGTTTAAGGTACAGCAGCAACAACTTCTCCAATATTTCTCTTTAATGGACATTTCATCTTTCTCTTAAAGCTTCGACTGCAATGTTCCATTGCCCAATTGTTACGACTTCGATACGGGCAACGAATCAATGTCAGTCAAAACTCCGCCGGGCAGCCCATTTTCCTTTCAACATATCGACAGCCCCTTCGAGGCGCCACTGCTGTACCAGGCGGCTGCGCAGCCGTGCCCGGAAGAGCAGCCACTGTCGAGGGACAGCCAGTACACGCAATTTGAGAATGACTGCCAAATGGATCGCTCACAGACCGGAAAGCCGCAGCAACAGGCAGCGGTGCATAACATGCAATCCCTACAGCAGATGCAGCCGCCACAATTTCATCTGCAACTGCCCATTTTGTTTGGCAGCATTCAATCTGCGCCTGCTCCGTGCACGCATCAACTGACTTCGTTTTGTGGTTTCTCCCAAACTATAGGCCAACAGCCTTGGCCACTGCAACAGCAGCAGCAACAGCCGCAGCAGCCTGCACAGTGCGAGTGTCCACAGCTGGAGCAGCAGCAACTCCCACAGCAACAGCAACAAGTGCAGCAACAACAACTGCCGCAGCAACTGCCACAGCTGCAGCCCTGCCAAATCCAGTTAATACCAACTTTTCTGGGTGATCAGTCAACAGTTGGAAGGAGCTTTGATCTGCCCTGTCGTATTATGGGAGTCCAAGGGACTGGCGCATGCACGAACCCAATGCAGCCCATATTTATCCTGGAAATCCTGCCCCAAGAGCGTGCCACGCAAGAAACTAAGGAGCTGAATCAACAAAGCTTGCCCATGCCAAGTATGTCCTCGGTCGCAAAGTGCGCAACAGAAACACCAAGGAAGTCAGCAACCTGGGCACCAATGAACACATCCTATCCGTGTACCTCATCACCACCAGCAACTCCTCCCAAATCGATATGCAAGAGAGTCGCCTCCAATGTAACGACTGTGAGCACTGGTCAAAAGTCTCGAAAGTCAGAGACTTGTTTTTCGCATCGGCTCTCGGGTTGTAGAACGCCAAATTCCTTGGCAAATAGAAATCGCAATGCAAAAGCAAGAGGAAATGCACTCGAAAATAGAAACGGAAATTCACAGAGCAATGGAAATGGCTTTGCACACAGAAGCGGAACCATCTTGGGAAGTAGAAATTGTAATGGAATTGGGAATAGATATGATAGTAAAGACGCTTACAGAACAGCCAATGGATGCACGATGGCAAATAGAAACGGGAATACCAATGCTTGTGGATATGGTAATGCAACCACCTATGGGCGGGCTAGTGCATATGGTCACGCAAGAGCCACTGCCAATTGTAGTGGAAATGAATGTACCAACAATGGCTGGTATCATCCACGCTGCTCTTATTGGCGTTATCCGGCGGGCGGTCGTCAAAGCGGTGAATGGAACCAGAGATTCTAGAGGCTTACGCTTGAGATGCTGTCAAAAACCTCCATCCAGAAGGTAATAGTATCTATCCAATGAAATGAAATGCAAACTGAGTATACATATAAATAATTCAAATTTTTAAGAATCATATTCATAAGATAAGTCAATTGGTCAGCACCTCCTAAGTCTTTTTTCTGAACTAGTTGACTGGCTTCCTTAATCATTTAAGCAACAGTCAATTAATGTTGTAAAATGGGACATAGGAAAATCTGCTTCTTTTGATTAATATAAAAATAATCGTGTCTTAATAATCTTATAGAGTTTCATACAACTAAATTATAAAATTCAATTACGTAAAGTCGGACACATTCGACTGCTTCGCATTCATTCACGGTCCAGCAATTTAATTTATTAAAAAATCAATGTTGTACATTTTGACACGCCTACAATAGGCGAGGCAGTTGAGCAGGAGTTTATCTTGTTCATCACGTGATTTATATTATTATTTATTACCTTAATCGACTGCTGTCAAGCATTGATCGAATGGAAAAAGCTATCAAAGTGTGAATATCTGTAACAAAATATAAGTAAATCAAAGACCACAGCTAATGCTTAAAAAAATATTAACATAAATATATATATGCATACATTTATGTACACACATATAAAAATACTCGCAATAATAATTGTAATAGGAACACTGCTCTCATTCAAAGCACTTATAGCATAAACAACAGATCACAAATAGAGTAATTAGCTATAATTAGTCTATAGTTAGGAATTGTTTGACTCCATATCGTTCAGATAATTGGAGACATAGTTGCTCATAATGGACGTTATCGCAGTTTGCTCAATTGCCGGATTCAACGAGCTCCTGCCACCAGGAGTCGGAGTTTCAGTCAGCGTAACATGATGGCCAGTTGCCATTATATTGCTTGTGGTTGTTGCCGTAGCAAAGCTTGGGTAGTTTGTTCTGCAAGGATTCACAAGGCCATTCGATGTGGATTGAAGTGGATGCGGAGTGCTGCATCTGTCCAGCGTGTGTCGATGTGGCAGAATGCTATCGCTGTAGGATTGGAATTCATTTGAGCGAACTGTCACCGGAGGTTGCATGTAGACAACTTGCGGCGGTGCTGGCAAGAGTCGGCGCTGTCCCTTCAGCTGTGAACCTGGCGACTTGGACCTGGCTACGCACTGTGCAAATGCATCCTGAAAGCATTGCAAACGCGGTTGATAGGCGGGTGGCGGCAAACGTGGAAGGAAAGGCTGTTGTTGTTGTTGTTGTTGACTGAATCCGAATTGCAGTTGCTGCTGCTGCTGCTGCTGTTGCTGCTGCATCTGTTGCTGTTGCTGCTGTTGTTGTTGYTGCTGGTATTCGTATTGTTGTCGCTGCCATTGCAATGACCGCGAACATTCCTGCAGCTGGTGCTGCTTTTTAGCAATGCGCTCTTGCAGGCTATTTAGTTCAGCATCCAGCTGTCTTTTTATTTCGTTCTTATGGGCCTGAATAGTCTCCTCTTGCTTTTTGCTCTCGATCATTTTAATCATGAATTTTCTATGATAGTCAGCATGTTCGCGTTCACAAATCAGCCGATTCGCATGGATCTCCTTGAGTGCCTTGCTAAATTCCTTGAGCTGCTTATCCTCATGGCCTTTCAGTTTCTGATACTGTGCATTGAGCTGGCTCAACTCCTTTTGACCCGCTTCTAAATATTGCTTTTGAAAGTAATTTTGCTGCTGCTGTAACTGCAAAGCTTGCGCTTGCGCTTGAGCCTGAGCCTGAGCTTGCGTCTGCGCCTGCGCTTCCGCCTCCACCTGCTGCTGCCAGTCATGTAACTGTTGTTGTTGTTGATGCTGCTGCTGCTGCTGCTGCCAGTTATGTAACAACTGTTGCTGTGCAGTTGGCTGCGAGTAATCATACTTATCAAAGCTATCTTTATTCCACTGCTGCATATAATCGGCTCGCTCTATATGCTGTTGCATATTTTCATTCGACAACAGATTGTTGTTGTTGACGATAGTAGATTGCAGTTGGTTGCCAGGATAAAGGGGCGGCAAGACAGTGTCTGGCATCAGGTGTGGCGTCTCACTGGACGCATAACTTGAGGTTGTGACTCGCTCAGTGGGCATTGCATACTGCCCATTAGGAATATATTGCATACTTTCAGCTGGCAACTGCTGCTGCGGCGACTCTTCTAGCTCCTCACATTGTTGCTCTGTAGCAGTATCGTAACATTGTTGTTGTAGCTCTGTATCTTCTGTATGCTCCAGTTGCTGTTGTTTCATTCTTTCTAGTATCTGGAATTCGTCTAGAGACACATCTGAAAAATTCTGAAACTGTCCATTGAGCTGCTCCTCTCGTTGTTCCACATGAACTGCGGCCGCTGTTGTTACCCCATTGAAGCCCACATTGGCCGACAAACTCATATGCTCCAGCTCCTCCACAACTCCCATTTTGATATCCTGCTCATTCCCGTCCGGATTGTGCCAACGTAAGAGTGGCATTTTGAACGGCTCTTGCTTGTCCACCAGCGGCTCTGGCTTGTCCAGCGGCTCATCTTCGCTCTTGGGCCTGCAAGTAGTCTAAATTAGGTACACACACATGCACATCGAAAGTACACTCTTTGCTCACTTTAACTCTAAGTTCGCAGCTTGACTAAGTTGACGATTGGAGACGACCTCTATGAACTCCTCGGTGCCATCCTCTTTGGAGCCGGATAAAGACGTATTGAGTATCTCTTCCAGTATGATGCAGCCCTCGTCATCGCTGTGTAGCTGATTTCTATTCGTATGCTCCAAGTTGAGGTTGGTCATGCTAAGAGCCTGGTTCAAGTCATCAAACTTATCTATCTCTGGGCTTTCGTTCGGCTCTTGCTTGATGTACAACTCTTCATTGCTGCTGTCTACTGAGATCTCGCATTTTTCTTTTGACGTTGTCTCGTCGGGTAGTTCTTTTGGAACTTCCATTAATTTCTTTGTTTTTTTCCTCTTCATTTGTTGGGCTACGTAACGCGCTCGACCCGATCCAACCGGAAATTTGAGCATTCTCATGCAGTAATCAGTGTTTTTACTAATTTGATCCAAAGACTGATATTTGCGCAGATAGAGCTTACCCCGAGCCAACTCTTTGGGTATAAACAGATTCTCATTGGAGTAGACGTTGGCCCGACGCTTCTTTGTTTCGGCTCTGGGTGAAGCGAAAGCATAGTTAGATAAATTTTTGTATACTTAATTTCCTTTAGAATAACTACATAGAAAGCGAGTGCCTTTCCTCCAGAACAAGTGGTCGCTCCTCACGCTCTTTCAGCCGATTCTCCTTCGCCTTGTTACACTCTTGCGCAGAATTATCATCTTCCTTGATTTGCCTATGCCACAAAATGTAATTATTTCTTCTGAATACGCGAGCAAAGTTTATATACGACTTACTCCAGGTCTGGTAGCTCTCCATTATTTGTTTCATGGCTCGAATCAGACTCTGCCTCTGACTCAAACTTTGAATCGTCCGCCGCCATATCCGTTTGACGACTGCTCTCATGCGACTCCATGCGTTTGTCTTTTATAGCACTTATCAATGTTTACAACAAACTCTCATTTAATAGCGAAGCTAATTCAATTGCAGGCTCTCCGATTTGGAAATCTGATTTTTGTTTACATTGGACTTGGCAAGCTTCGCACTGCTCGTTCCAACTTGTCCATCCACGCTAAAAGTAAAAAGAAAAGAAATACGACGTAAGCTCAGCTCTTCATATTTATATACACACATACATATGTATGTACATATATACATCTCGTATAACGGTTAATAAATTATTATTAATTATTGTAACCTGCTGCGACGTTTATTTTCTGCATTGTTCGCCCTCAAATTACCATCTTGTTGCTGTAAACTAAACACCAATTCGCGTCAATTCGCACACGTCAGCGTTTTGAGCTGCAGATCACAATACGCTTCTAATATGTTTATTAACATTAACTACCTTTATGAGGCAGAATTAGAACAGTTTATTTTAATATTTTAAACAAAATGAAGTCAATTCAATATTTATACATAGGTATGTTATTAAGCATTATAATTAGAAAATTATTTAAAGCCGATTTCGATGCCATTCTTTCATTATTGAAATATTTTTATTGTTTATTCAGGGTGCACATTATATTTGTTTCAGTTATCTTAAGTCGTATTTTTAATTTCCATTTGTAATTAGATAAACAATGATTTATAAGCTTAATTCTTTAACATGTGTAGGCTTATGTCAATTCGAAATGTTCACCGCCATTTGTATGTATACATATGTGTGAATGTATTTACATATGTATCTATGTATTTACATATGTATGTACATAAGTATTTCTGTACGTACAAAACTTTAGGTTTTTTTCTTGCGTTTCCCGCGAATTGGGCAATTAAGCATAATTTTGTTTGTTTACAATCGCGACTCGTTACTCTCAAGCGCAGACAAATAATAAACATAACGTTCCCTTTTGACAGGAGGTCCCGTTTGATTTTGGTTTCGGCTCTCGATGACGACGACGCCGACGCTGGCGCGACGAAATTTGAGTTGGCCGATACCGATAGAAAGCGAGCGTCGTGTTGCACCGCCGAAAACTGAATGAATGCAACGTTTTCTGTTATTATTATTATTTTTGCATTTCTACTTGTGTTAAAGGCGACGGAAACACCACCCGCCGGCCGTAAAATTATGGCACACTATACTTATAAAGTGAAACAAATAGTGGACTAAACATGTGAGCTGGATTCACCCGTTATACATACATACATACATACATATGTAGATCAAAGAGCTCAGATATTGCTATACAGCAATTCGTTCGTATTAGAATAACACCAACAACACAGGATTAACGGAGCTTGCCTAACGGTAAGGACACGTCAGCGTAATTCCTTTATGGCACATTCACCTGGCATACTCGTATGAATGTAGTTTTTTTCTTACGCGTAATTGTAATGTATTTCAAACGCCTTCGCCGCACCTGAGACACGTTGCAGCGTAGAAATGTCGGCCGTGTTAATTTTAAATGACAATTGTTTACTGTTCTATTAATAGCTATTCTATATTAAAACCGCTAAATGTGGCTAGGATGCGAAATAAAGATAAGTTGTCAAAGGCTTTGTCGACATAGCTGTCAAACTTGCAGTTGGAAATAGATTAAGATAAATTAAACGTCATATTTAACCATATACAATCATTAAATATAGTAAAACAAGTTTAATAAAAATAAATAAAATGTTATATCATCCCTTTTTCTTTTTATATATTCCTATGGTTAGAGATATATTCTAATTGAGCGGGTAAGCAAAAACTTTGAATTTTATTTAAAACTTATCGATTAGTCGATAACAAGGCAACAGCTATTGGCAGAGTTGGCAGCCCGATTCCCACCCGTATTTTCGTTTTCATTTTCTCTGGTCACATTGTCACTTAAAGAGTAGAAACAATTGGAAAATAATAATAAATTTACTGAAAACGTGGAAATTGTGCAATAAATATGGACAAATTAACGACAATTAGTGCTACGCTGTTCATGGCCGCCGATGTGTTCGCTATTGTTAGTCTAGCTCTGCCCGATTGGATAATTACAGAGGAAGCTGGTAGCCGCTGTTTAAAACACCAACAAAAGCTAAGCAATAATAATTTATTGTTTTTGTATATTGTAGGGGACATACGTCTTGGCCTAATGTGGACTTGCATGACGCTGTATAACCGCCCACAGGTTTGCTACACTCCAGATCTTCAGCCGGAATGGCTAATCGCGCTCGTTTGCATTTTCATCGGCTGCATTTGTATCACCACGACAATTATATTGCTGGCATCCAGCACTTGGGACCGCAACGTTATTCCATATGCTCGCTGGGTGGGCTTTGCTGCAATGGTTCTGTTCTGTATGGCAGCGGTTGTGTTTCCCCTGGGATTCCATATTGAGGAGATAGGCGGACAAGCGTATCAGCTGCCAAATACGTTTAAAATTGGCATATCATATATAATGTTTGTGCTAGCGCTGTGGATAACAGTTGTCTCAGAACTGTTTGCCGGTAAAGTCTGCTTGCCACACTTCTAAAGCGTACAGTCCATTGAATAGATTTACGTGTATATAGAGGACACCTAGTATTAAGGTTTTAAGTACAATTTGTTTACATATTTTCTGTGATTTGTTACATATTTTGTTTTTATGTGTACTGTTCATATCAATTTATTCAATAATTTTAAAAAAATATTTTTTAATGCTACTTGAACAACATAGAACTGTCCTGCGACGATTATTGAAATCTCGTTAGTATTTAAGTGTTTGATTTTTCTTTTGATTTATATACATACATATATATATTTATACTATATATAACATATAAAACTATACATTTCGGCTAGGCATTTACATTTACTAACAATTAAATAAACAAATAAAAAAAGAGTAATAAATCTGACATTTACTCACATTTAAAATATACAAATTTTAGATACTTTTCTTCACAACACTTTCGGTTTTAAATGTAAAAGACGGCGTACTTATGAACGGTCAAATGGCAACTGGATTATCGCCGCCTTTGCGCCTGCGTTGTGTCAATATGTAAAAAAGGCCGTCTTGAATAAAATATGAGATCCAGATTCAGATTCAGAAATACGACACGATAAGCAATGCTGAGCAAATGCATTGCCACGTATTCATTTTTAAAATTGTGCTGATGGAAGGCATTGCAACCGGACACCACTTGACGGCTGTCCACTTAGGGCATGAAGAATATAAATATAACTTAAAGATTTTTTGTGTACATACCAAGTGATCAGATTTTAGATGTGATAGTCATGCTCATACACCAACAGCTTGTAGTAGTTCTTGCTTAGAGTGTCCTCCTCCATCCAGCATAAAATTGCGAATATAAAGACCGTTGTTTGCCACGCGAACTGACATTTCAAACTAGTCAACATATCTTCAGCATTCTCCAGCCGCAGGCCATAAGTGGCCAAGTAAAGCTGATGATGGGCACGCAGTATTGAGACGAAACCAATCACGTATAAAACCAGCCAGAGACTCTTCGACAACCAGAAAATCTTAATCATCCACTTCCACAAGCGGTGATGAAACTCTTCGGTGGATAAAAATCGGAGACACAGCGAGTGCAGAGTATCACAGCCCATGCAGGCTAATGCGGCAGCTATTGCTGGCAGCGTGTACTGATACTCCCGTTCGTGGATCTCCAGGACTGGGTGTGTCGCATAAGGTATGCCCAAGAATGTCTTATACTGGTTGGTAAGCGTGTAAGGGCGCTTCGCCGTTATGTTGGCCAGATTCAGAAAACAGAGATACGCGACGAATAGCTTAAATATAAATTCGCAAACAAAACAGACATAATAAAACGAAATACTAGCTGTTCGGAGAACGATTTGACTTTACGTTAATTTTGTCTTGCAATAAATAAATATSTCAAGAAAACAATATTTACAATTAGATGGCGCACAGTGTTGTAACAAATTCTACTCTCTGACTGAAGACTTACAAGCAAACTTTACGTTAAGTTCAATTTCTGACACTTGCTCCAAAGCCAACTTCAATGTGTTGAATATAAGTATTTTTTATTCTTGGTACTAAACCAAGCCTAGTTAGTTTTATTTCTCGTTCATTGTAAGCCTCTAGTACAGAACCAGTGACTATGGGCGTCGCAACAAGTACTTGACAACGTTGGACAACGGAGATGAGCATAAAAGAGTGAAAGACGAGACTCGATGCTTTATATTCAAGTGTTATTTTGTTTCTAGTTCATCGTATGGAAAGGTATGGTCTTATATATGGTTATTTTGACTATCTATTTTTACATAGCCATAGCCTAAATAAATATAACAAGTTTTTAGTATGATCTGAGGGCTATCTTGTAACTGATAATGATGGGTTATTTGCTTACCGTCTGGTGCAACTGATGCCCCTTATACCTGGTATCCTAATATATTTAAAGTTATCTAAACTGTTGACTGTGGGATGAACGTAAACTCGCATATGAATGAAAACACTTCCTTGTCTTTTATTGTATATTTTATTTAATAAATAGTATTTGATAAAATTATTCAGTTACAATAATCGCATATTTTCTAAATAGCCAAACAACTTGAAATACTTATTAATATTTTTATTATATGTATTTATAAAAAAAAAGCACTGCACTATGTATGTGTAATTATTTTATATATATTTTTTTAACAAATTCAAATGAATATATATTTAATACATTCGTAAATATTTCGATTATTTTGTGGATATTTGTAAATCTTGATAGCAAATAGACAGATATGCATGCACACATTAATTTTCCATAGATAAGAAACAATCATCAGAATAGTGTGTATCGGAGGTATAGCTCATATTTGATGGGATATGTTCAGTTAGGGACTCTTTGACTCGCTCAGTTTGGATGTTATTTATTCAGAAAGAGTGGCACAATATCAAAAATTATTTGGTAAAAAAATATACAGTTACATAGATCGTTTGAGGTCTCCAACATTGCTAGAGCTCTGATGGCACATAGTTTGTTTAACTTTCGAAGATTAGAAATTAAATGGAGTGCTCCAATAGATAATAATAACAATAATAGAAAGATTGGCAATTAGTTCAAGCATCTATTGGAGCACCCACTCAATAAATAGGCTATGTCCTATAATAATGTGATTAATGTGTTGATTATTTACTTTGGGGTGGGCTAATTTGCATTTGTTATTTAAAGTTAGTTAGTTCTCTGTTCAGACGAGTATAGTTGTATTCCTTAAGCAATATTTTCTATATAATTATTCGCTGTTTAAGTGAGCTACGCAATTTGTGCTAAATAACAATTAAACATTAACTAAGACGAACACTTAATGCATATAATTCTTAATGTGCAACGCAAATTAAATGCTTAAAATTCATGAAATCACTTAAATAACATAGTTCCAACAGAAATAAATAACAACATGCCTTAACATAAATATGTATGTATGTATCTATACACAAATAGCATTTACTATTAACAAGAACGAATTGCGCGCTTTTTATTGGATCGCTTCCAATTACAATTTCCCATCGAAGGGTGTCTTTACAAAGTATGTGACTAGATTGCCTTTGCCCTTGACGTAGGTGAGGCCCCGGCATTCGCACTCATATCCGGCGGCCATTAATATCTTGGCTGTATTCTCCGTTGTCTGCCGCATATAAAAGAGTTTTGATGAGTGAGAGGCTGGGCCAGAAGGAGATGTCACTATTGTCACTCACCTGGAGTCGGCCCATGACGCCGCATGAGTCCATGCGGGACGCCACATTAACGGTGTTGCTCCATATATCGTACTGTGGCTTCTGGGCGCCAATCACGCCCGCAATCACCGGACCGTGATTCAGGCCGATGCGTAAGCGGAAGCGCTGGAACGACTCGCGATTAATTGAATCCAATATGGACATCAAAGCAATCGCAAATTCAACCAATATGACCACATTGTGCTCCTCGGTACGTTTCTCATCCTAAACGAAATTGCAGAAGATAAAAAACGAAAAAAACGAGTATGAACAAAAGTTACTCCACGTTGGCGTTTGGGTATTTTCATTATGCTCGTTGTCGCTTTTATTGGCCTGGTCAGCCGACGTGAAAGCCAATTGAGCGTATGCTGCCCAAAGTTTGGCTAATCCCTGCCCAATGCCAACCCTCATTTAGAATCCCTTTTTTTCCCTTACTTTTATTTTCTATTTTGTGAAGGGTCATTGTTTGATTTAACTGCTGGGTGCGCTTTGTGTGCGCCAACACGGTTTAATTAAACTACTAAATAGCGATTAAGAGACATTTAAACAGTAAATCAGATTCGAGCAGTCGAAATTGGTCTTTTGCCTGTGTCTCTCAAATGTGACCCAATTGAAATAAAATTGAGGAAATGCGGAATCAGATAGGAGCTATTAGCGAAGACTTAACTGACTAGTCCTTAGTAGCATCAGCTAAGAGTTAGTTAGTATCGATAGCTCTATTTTAATATAAAATATTAATTATAGTAAAATATACATGTATTTTATAAGCCCAACCCAGGGTTATTATATCGTATATTGACTACGATTTTATAGCTGCTTAAATGCATAGATTAACTTACCGCAAAGCTACGCGACTATTTATAGCATGCCAGGTAGTCGCAGTGTTGTTATTTATAGTATTAGTCAAGCGTTAAAGAAATATTAATTAATTTACATAGACATTCCAGAGTTTAAAGAAGCTTGGCAAAGTGCTGCAGCAACTTACCGTGGCGCCATCCTCCTTGCCGGGTCGCAGGCCAGATGCACACATATAGGTGCTGGCTATGGTTTTAATCTTTTCGATGCCACTGAATTTCGGTTTTAAGAGTAACTGCAAGAGAGGACAATTTTAATTAGACCTGCAAGACAACTGTTTACTCCCACACTCACCTTGTCGAAATCGCAAATGATCTCGTTCAACAGACGCAAGCACTCCAGGCCCTGCTTATTGACGTCTGTCTCATCGTAGAACTCCTTGTAGTTGGGTATGGAGGCAAACATGACGGCCACGCAGGAGTAGCTCTCGTGATACAGCTCCGTGGAGCGCTCCAGATGCAGAAAGTGGGTGGCCACGTGAGCCGGCAGAATGTTCTCCAGCAGAATCTGAGGGAATTTTATTGTGATGAATAAAGCAATTCACTTGCGATTTATGAGTCAACTTTACCTTATTGATGCCTCGCATTGTCTCGACCTCCTCCTGCTCCACCTTCAGCTTGGCCTTCCACAGAAAGTCGGTGCGTGCCACATATTCACCCTGACGATCCAGGGTATGCAGCACAGCAATCACCAGCAACAGCAGCAGGAAGCCTTTGACTTCCAGAGGGAGGCTAGCAGAGCAAAAAAAGGTTTAGTTCTAACTGTTCTCAACTGGATTTGGCCAGGACTCACCCATTGTTATAGTTGACCACATTGTAATGCACAAACAGATCGCTGTAGCCCAGCACAATCGTCTGTCCGATCAGGGCCAATATCATGGCAACCAGCTTGAGTATGAATCCCGATCTGAGGAAAGCCGAAATGGCCGCCAAGCTGACGGCGCAGCAGCAAAGGAATATGGGAGCTTTCGGTATGGCATTGGCAATATCCAGGGGTAGCATCTCGTCCGGCAGCGTGCTGTTGTTGAATGTATCGCTGCTGTTGGTACTGGTGGCATTACTCTCCCCATAGGACATATCGTCCGGCAGCGAGTAGTTGATCTATTATAAATGCTGGCTAAAGACCCGTTGGTTTACACATCGAAAAACCTCTTCCACTTACCACACTGAATACGGCACAGGACGAGATGAGTATGTTGACAATGATGAACATGGCCATGCGCAGAAAGCGACTGCTGGCCACCACCTGGCCGGGACCATTACGCTCCGTGCTCGAGGCATGCACATCCGGCACGGACATATTGCTCAAATAGAGAAACAATGCTAGGGATATGAAGCTGGCCAGCAACGAGCCCAGCATCGCCAGGTTCCTGTCATGGGGGGCATTCAAATCTGAGTTAAATAAATCGTTCTCGGTACTGGATCTCACCTACAGTTCAATAACAATCAGCTGCACCACGGCCAGCGAGAGGAAGAGCACGAAGGCGCATATCAGATCGAAGCGGAAGTGTGTATCCGGCTGCTCTCGGTACATGGCCTCCCGAGGCGTATTCCGGTACCACATGCTGAATGGCTTCAGCTCGGTGGGGGGCCCCAAGAAGTTAAAATTGAAACATTTACGCTCGGGCGGCAGCAAATTTGATTCAATCATGGCAATGCTCTGCAAGGGATAATAGAGGTTTGTCAGCTTGATGCCCAGAGGCGCAGTTGGAGGCGATGCCGTCCATAGAAAGCAAGAGTAGCAGCAGCAGCAGCAGCCGGTGTGCCCAATGGCTACGAAATCAAGCCTGTTGCTTGCTGTTTATTTAATTTAACCAAACGACCAAGTCCGCAAAACAAATTGAGTTTAATTCAATTTAATTTTAATGTCATTCTCGGCTGTTGCTGCTTGACCCCAGGCAGTTGGCAAAACTATGGTCCACACGGACCAACCAGGCCATCCACCCACACCCACTCACCGCCAGTCCAATGTTTTTCACCAGCTTGGATTCGGCAATGTTGGCAAAGGGTCGATCGGCGCCCCAGCATTCCACATATTTGGTCATCTTTGAAGAGGGACGATTGCGTGTGACATGGCCTGTTAAAAAAAAAAAACACACAACCACACACAATTCAATTTTGATTTTTCATTTAATAGATTTATGTAGGGCTTGAAGAGTTTTCCTTTAAAATTATAAATAAATTTGCATGCAAAAAACAAGCGCAGATAATCTGAGTTGAATAGAAAACCGACTAAAATCCGATTAGACAAGCGAAATGTGTTTAGTCTGATTGGAAAATCTATAAACATGGAATTTAGAAGTATATTTATTACATATTTCTAAATGTATAGCCTATATCTACACCCAATATTACAGTCATCTAGCTATTTGCTTTGGTTTCTGCTATCCATTTGTAATTCATTCTGGCTTTTCTGGCAATGCTCCGGCGTGATATTTATCGTGTTATTATCCTTAATCCTTGACTTTTAAGCTACGTGTTAATTCGTTTGTCAACTTCCCACACAATATTTAATCAGTTTTATTCATGTCCGAGCTTGCATTAAAAATGCCATCAAATTAAGCATTTGGCAGCCGTCGCGATGGCACGTGAGGCACCCATATAAAAAGCCATAAAACGAACAATGGGCCGCAGCTGCAGCAGTGGCAACGAGCACATAGCTCAGCTGGCTGTCAAAGGAAGCTTAATTGCCAGCGTTGGCCAGGTGCTGTGGTCCGGTCCGTGCACGCCTGGAAGCACCTGGGCCAGTGCGCTGCGCGCTTGGTCATGCCCAACTTTGCACAAAGGCCAACCAACAACAAACAACAACAAGCAACAACAACAAACAACAACAAACGCAAGCACATTAAGCTTATGATGCAAAAGTTGGGACACTGACGATAAAATTATGCATGAACTGGAGCTCATTTGCAAAAGTGATTTTCAACTGTTGCGCTTTATGCTCTGCCCGTGCCTCAAGCCTCTTTCACGCCCCTGCCGCACCCAAGGCCCGTTGCAATCTTCACTCCGTCTGTGGCAACTCACCTGCATGACTGCGAAAACTTTCGCCGCTGTGTATGGATAATTTGCGACCCTCGATAAAGGCGCCAGAGGAGCGACGTCTGTCGGCGAAGGACATCAGTCCTGAATGAACGAAAAAAAGAAATAAAATTAAAGAAGCTTTATTGAGAAAGACGCATTTTTATGCTGCCTGTATATTTATATTATTTACAAAATTAATCCATAGCTACAAATATAAATAATTTCTAAATTTAGGCAAGATTGGTGCAACTTTGAAGTCAAGTTGCATATATGTATGTGTATGTATATTTATATATTTATTTCCTTATGTATGCAGTCATTCCAGCTTTCAACTGCTCCAACTTACCCTGTACAGAGAGTTTGCGTCGGGAGCGCTCGGGTGCCTCGGCCACAGTCAAACTATTGGCGCCTCCTGCTGCAGCTGCTGCTGCTGTTGCTGTTGCTGTGGCTCCTGCTGCTGTTGATGTGGGCGTAAGATTGGCCGCATTGGCCGCTGTTGCTGGCTGGGTGCCACTGTTGGAGATGCCACTCTCGCTGCCACTCATGCTGAGCAGATCCTCGGCGGGCAAGGACAAGGCGGCCGACTTGGGTGCGGACTCGGAGGCAGCGGAGTCGCCGCTGCCGCGATGGGCCACATTTGGCGTTCCCTCATTGTTGATTTCTGGCTCGCTGCACTTGCCAACCAGCGGCTCCGTGGCATTAGCATCGTCTTCCTCTTCGGACAGCTCCTTGATGGACATGGATGCAGCCGAGGTGAGCGGCGCATGCAGTACCCCATCTTGGCTGTTCGTAGATATGGGTGAGAGCCTGTCAGGCTGTCCGTCGGCCACAGCAGCAGCAGAAGCAGCTGCACTAACTGGAGATCGTGTTTCAGCAGGCAGAAGCTTCTCAGTGACATCGATGTCTTCTTTGACGGCATGCTCCTCAGCTGGCTCCGTGTGCTCAATGCACTCCACCACCCGCGGCACACTGTGCATATAGGCAGGCTGTCGAGATGATGGTTAGCCGAGCAGCTCATTACGATAGATGAAACAAAAGACATACCTTGGGCGGCACAATGAGATACGTTTCAATTTTATGATCCGCTAGATATGCGTCTCGGCTGCCACCCTCGCCCTGCTCCACCTCAAACTTGTCGCCCAGAAAGTCCAAAGTTTGCTTTGTGATGTGCACGCGACTGTGAATTATATGTGGATTCATTGAATATATTCAATGCTCTATATATGTATGTATATGTATGTGTTATGTATATAAATTAAAGAACCTTTCTAGAATGCGTGTGGTCTCTCTCTCTCTCTTATTCCACTTGGCATCCATTTCCGTGCTTTCAATTGTAATTTTATTTTATTTATGCCTTTGTTGCGCAACCGAATTGAGTGTGTGCCCCAAGCCGTGGGCAAGGAATAAATAAAAATCATCTATGTGCAACTTGAAGTAGATTTTAGATAAAAGTGCCTCAGTGACTCAGTGAATAGAAATTCATAATCGACAACTGCTGATTAACCTTTTGATAACCTCTAGGCATTGCCACAATTGGCTGTACTTGGAAAGAGCAAATTTAATTGTAGATTAAACTCAGACTGAAATTGGATAAATCGCTATATAATGACCGGTGCTTGTCAGTTGCCTGAGCGTTTATTCTATTCTTAGGTCAGACACAACTCTAATTACATATAGCTTCGAGCCAGCCCGAGCTCGAGCTGCAATTGAAGGTAATGGCCCGAGGCTAAGGACGTGTTTAATTGCAATGCCCATGAAGACACATTAAAAATGGTATTATGACGTGTGGGGCAGCACCTTGTTTAGCTGCTTCACCTGCTGCCCGGCAGGCTCGCGTTTGTTTTGCTTTGGTTAGTTGGCTTTGTGTGGAATTAAAAGACAAAAAAACAACAAGTAAGAAAGCTCTAGTCGAGACTGCTCGACTACGAGATCCCCTGAACCCTCGGAGCAATAGATATTTCAATAATTTTTCGCGTCTTTCAGCTTACACAAGAAACACGCACACACGCACACACAGGCATACATACACACACACGCATACAGACACAAACACATACACACACTCACATACACACAGACGGACAGACGGACGGACGGACAGACGGACAGACGGACAGACAGACGGACAGGGCCAAATCAACTCAGCTCGTCGCCCTGATCAAGAATATATATACTTTGTGGGGTCTGCCACGCCTCCTTCTGCCTGTTACATACATTTCAACAAAACCATTATACCCTGATTTCCCATTGAAAATGGGTTCAGGGTATAAAAATACAGAAATGACAAACTTACCCCGCAACGCCGCCGCTCTCCATGTGGTTGGCCAGGGTAACATCATCGCTCCAAACATCAAATTGCCACTTGCGGAGGCCAAGGACGCCGCAGAGCACGTTGCCCGTGTGTATGCCAATTCGCATGTCAACATTTATGCCGGTCGCCTCACGCACGTGTCTGCCGGAACGAGAGTAAAGCAAACGAAGGGCAAACAATGAATGTTGTCCGTCCAGTTGTGCTGGCTCATGTACAGAAATATTTACATACTTATATACTAACTAGTTCTAGAGTTGCGTAACGAGCACGATTTTATGTGCCATAAAACAACAGGACAACAACAGGCCAGCCTTTGTGAGCCCTGATATATGACATGTGGCCGACCACTCACCGAAGCACACACGTGTACACACAGCTAGGGGCTGGTTAACAAGTCCTTCGCCCGGTTATTAACAGCAAATAGTATTTTTGTAGTGCAGTGTGATGTGTTCGCAGCGCCAAATGAGACGCAGCAGAAGTAAATCGTCTTGGAAAACAAATCACATGGGAGTCCTTTAAGTTGATTTGTTTTCATTCCTTTTGTTTTACTTTGGGTCATTTGGTTTGCTCAACGATTGAAACACTTATGTGCACACTCAGATAACAACCTCCACTGGCTGTACCCAAGAAAAGCCTCAGGTTTTCCTAATGCCAAAGTTCTTTTTCGAGGCTCGCCCCCTTTATGAATTTGTAAAGTTTCGGGAATTAAATTTAATTATGCAGGAGTGCGATTACCTCGGTGTGCCTTATTCTTTAAAGTTCCAGCAGTGAGTACTCAAAATAAACGAATATGTGGGCGAATACAGGCTATTATTTCAACATGCTGGGCTCATCAAAAAAATGAGATAAGAGTTCACACAAATGTGCTGAGAATGCGAGCGGGCCTAGCACTTGTTTGTGCTCAGGTAAATCAAAAAATATTGCCTACTTTTGTGCGCAACGAAATGCTGTGCGCTCTTCAAGCAATGCGCTTTAAAGTGTTTGCTAAATAACACAAAACAACAGACGTCTGTTGCGTCTCACAATTTAACTTGTAGCTCTCACATACACACACACTCACATACACACACGAGATGCAAGCATTGTGGCATTTTCATAAGAAGCAAATTGAAAAAAACCCGCACTGCTTAATGGGCTGCATCTGCATGGTACAAACAAAGCGAGAAGCAAGTTGCTTTTCAGAACAGAGAGAGTGGGAGAGAGAGGGCATGAGAGAATGAAAAGCCAAATGCCTTCCGGCGAAGAACAAAAGAAATACTTAAAGTGAAATGAAATGTTAGAAAGCGGCCAAGCCAGAACAAAATAATAAACACAATAGGAATGCGCGTTGGCGAATAAAGAAATAAATGAAAAATGCGAATATATAGCAGCTCAAGTGCCGAAATTTAAATACCCTAAAATACTTTAAGCTGAGAAATTATATATTCAATATAGAAAAATATATCCAAAATGTATTTTTTAATGTATACAATAAAAAGATTTATGTGCACTCACATACTCAGGCAGTACCTCAGTAGCTTTTCGGACAATGGCCGTACGTACTTGCTACTGGGCCACTTACGCATGTAATAAAATTGGCTTTTGTGTCGATATTGTACAAAATATTCTGCTTTGTATATATTTTATGTTACTTTTTTTTTTATTCTTTGACCTATTCTTTTGTTTTGTGGGCGTCTTTTATTGCATGATACGATTTTAATAGGCGACATAAAAACTGGATCCATGTCCATCTACTGGCATTTAAAGCTGACATGGCCGCGCAATAAGCTGACAGCCAAGGCAGGGCGATAAAAACAATATCGTGACATCTATTTAGGCACAAATTAAAGCTTAACGTAAATCGACTTAATACTTGATGTATTAAATAAAAAGTGTGCACAATTTATTGTTGCATGTGTAGCTATCCCTGCATGCTAGTGTTTACGCTCGTGTCACTGATGCGTGTGTGTGTGTGTGTGTGTGTGTGTGTGCTTATCCACCTGTAACCCGATGGCCCACAGAAACTATCAAAGTGCTGAAAGCAAAAACAAACGTTTGCATAAGAGCTGGCGGAAACTCAAGCACACATACACACACAAACACACAAACACACATACACACGTACATAGGCACGCTCGTTCATGCAAGGAAAAACCAAACACCAAACAGCAAGTCAAAAGGGACGACCGAGGGCAAACATGTCGTATGCGTAACGCGCGTTCAATGTTGACTGTTTAAAGGGCAACTCACCTGATGGCATCGATCATTTGCAGGCCCATGTTGACACAATTTGTAGCATGCTGCGGCCGTGAGATGGGCAGCCCGGACACGCAATAATAGCAATCGCCCAGAATTTTAATGCGCAGGCATTGATTCTCCTATGTGTCAGAGGCAGGATAAGTCAGATGATTAATGCATCGCCAGCAGGTGCTGTTGCTACTCACCTGAGCTATTTGATCGAAGCGTCCGAAGAGATCGTTTAAGGTCTTGACCAAATCACTGGCCGTCAGGGAGGATGAGAGCGGCGTAAAGTTCACAATGTCTGCAAAAAGTATGGTGACATTTGTGTGCCGCTGCACGTGGAGCTCGTGGAAACGTGTGGCTGATGTTGACGCCTGGCCTCCAGCACGCTGGCAAGCATCCGCCATCTTCAGCATGATGCTCCGCTTGACCTGCATACAGAAACACATATACACACACGCACACGCACATACACACACACATTATAACGACAATAGCAAATCAGAGCACTTGCCAGCATTTGCTCACCTCGGCGGCGATGTAGGCGGGTATCACGCTCAGAAGCAGCTGCTCCTGCTGCTCGCGCTCGCACTCGAGCTTGACGCGTTGCTCGATGCCAGTGCGTGTTCCATCCACGGTGCGATTGTGGGCGGCATCCGACATGATGCGATAATAAAGACCGGAAACGGATGCGCTAGCCAGCATAACAATCTCGCCAAAGAGCTACGAGGGCCCGGGCGAGAGAGAAACGAGTGAGCAATGAGAGTTAAACGGGGTCACGCCAAGAACTGTTGAATAATAGAGTCTATTGGCAGGAGGAGAAGCAGGACCCACAATGCTCCACCACAGACCCCTAATCGGAATTCCCAACATACAATTGTGTCCCAGCTAATTAACTCTGCCACAATGCCCTGCGATGGGCATGGAATAAGTGAGTGAGCGAGTCACTGAACGAAGAATGGAGAGGGGGGTAATGGGGTGACTGGGTGAACTGCCACAGCACGAAAAATTGTGCTGCGGAAAACGAACCACGAGAAAAACTAAACAAGTAATTAAAGCGACAACTTTAAAAGTTGTTCAATTTCTATTTTGTCTGCCATTTGCAATGATTTGAAATACAAATTGGCAAATTTTAATTAAGCAAATAATAATTAAAAGTTGACACTGATAATGAGTAAAGTTTATGTAAATATAATTATCAAATATTACTTTTGCTGCAAATATCAATATTTAATTCAAAAATATATTTAATATATAATTTAAGAAAAACAGAGACTCGAAAATTTAATTGTACGTAATATAGTATAATTATAATTATACTATAATTAATTATTCGTAATGTAGTATATAGTGAAAACAGAGTGAGCGTCTCTCTATATCTACTGATTTATCATTTTATATTTTTATATACGAAATTCGTATTACGAATATAGTGTTGTATAGTGTTTATTGAAGCTAAGTAAAGCTTTTATATTTTATTT